TCGCCACTCGCCGTGGGACTCGAGTGACTCGAGGCTTCTTTCTCAGAAGAGGCCTCCGCCTCCCCCATGTGGTCCCCGCCCAACCTGCTTTTGCTTTACGCGTAGAAGTACATACATACAAACTCACAGAACGACTGGAAAAAGAGATGCTTTCCAATCCTTACTCCGATCCCTCTTGATGCCGGTCTTGGTCTCTGAGGCGAAGGTGACGCCCTGCAGCTGGTTCACGGCAAACCCGGTCCACTGCTTGCGCTCAGAGCACCTGTGCCCTGGCGGCAAATGAGAAAACCTCTGGCTAAACCCAGCCCCTCAACCAAAAACCAAACAAGTGCTCAAAATGCTCAAACGTTTTGCTTGGACACTTTGACACTTTGGCTCTGCTTTGCCCGAAGGAAGAAGCACGACCCTCCTTGCCGCCTGGGCCTCAAGTCTTGGGCTTCTCTTTCGGACCGAGTCATGCAGCGGCTGCCTTTCTTGCCGACAGCTGTTGTTAGCTGCCCAACGCATCTCTGCTTCTAAGGCTTCTATGTTCCTGGCCGGGAACATCTGCTGAGGTTTCTGAATGGATTTGGGGGGTTTGATGGGCCTGAAGGCGGCTGGACTGGCCGGCCACATTCTGGGGGTCTCGAAAAAAGACGTCCGGACATCAAACAAGCTCCATAACATCGAAAGATAACATCGACAAAAGACCATGACATCACAAGGTACCCCCCCTCCCCCCACCTCCAGAGATCGGAAAAATCCGTCCGGACATCGAACACAGACTTCATGACATCGAAAACTATCTGTCCGGATGTGTCTCCGTCCGTCTCCGTCCGCAGCAGCTGTCCAAGAACGACAGACTCACCGGGAAAGCGCCACTTCGCGGAGCACCTTGGGGAACAAGAAACATTGCCCGAGAATCCGTGGCCGGACTGGAGAACTCGGCAGGGCAACGTGGGGAAACCGCCCATGTATCCATGTGACACACGAAATTGCGAACGCAAGCAATCCGTCCACTTTTCAGGCACTTTCGGGAAACGATGTTCATGTGACTGACACACAGCGGAGCTTTGCCCCCAAAACCCACCACCCACTTACAACCCAGTTTCAGCCTCTTTGCAGGGCCAACAAAGAGGCGAACTGCCACTTCGAGGATTCCAACTACTACGCTGCCCCTCGGATCAGAGCCACGCGGTGCCTTGAACACTAAGTGAAGTACGTACTGAATCTACCGGATATACGGAAGGTACTTTGTATATCTGGGTCTACTGTAAGAACGGCGTCAGCAGAAGAGAATGGCAACTCTGAAGGTGCCCCGCCCCCCCCAAGCTAAGGGCCCGTAGTGAGAGCCTTTTTGAGATGTTCAGGTGCAGCCAAGAGGATGGCATCTCCTCAGCAATGAGAACGGGGACATGGGGGGAGACATGAGCAAATAGAGCATCGCAGGGAGCGTCGCGCTGAGCATCTCATTCCATCTGCAGTGCATCGAGCGTTTCAGAGTCTCACTCCATTTGCTTCACCCTTCCGGGGAGATTGTCAAAGTGGCGGAGAGGCAGCAAAAAGGAGGAGCCTGTGCAAACGGAGTCTGCATGGGATTTTCGGCTTCGCACATCTATTCGCAGTAGTTTGCGAGCCGCGCGCATCTTCAAGAGGGTTTTCATGTTCTCGCGGTTTTGCGTTCGGCGTTTAGGGTGGCTCATCTTTGTTGTGTTTTGTTTGGGGAGGGGGGGTAGGGTTTCGGAATGTTTTGGGTGTCTAGGGGCTTCTTCTGGGTCGGCGTGTAGGGCTTGGGGTCTAATTAGGTTCTACCATGAGCCCCCCCAAGATATTCTGTAGGTTCGGGTTTGGGATTGACAGTTCTGGGTTTTCTGCCTCCAGTTTGGATCTTCCTTACGGTTCTTTGTGAGGTCTTTGATGGAATTCCGATTAGGGTTTTGTGTTCGGGCATGATGTGCTAGGATTCTTGCAGTTTGACATATTGAGCTTCCAATACCTACAACTTCCAGAATGTCGAACCGGCCACAGCTCATTCCCCTATTCAAGCGCGGTCGCGCAGTCCGCATGATCCCTGAAAGCGTGCGCGGGCCTGCACGGGCTACGCTGGTCATCACGCTGCCGTTTAACCATCAAGGACTTTGATCCTCGCAAGGAGTTCAAGGAGCTGGGAGGCCGAGGCAGCAGCCTTTTGGCGGCCTTGGGTACGCAGCTCAGAATGCGACTGTGAAGCTTCGGCTATAGAGCCTTGAGAAATTCCAACGTTGGAAAGCCGTCACAGGCCTTCGGCTCCCGGTATGCTGCGGGCCGCGCATCGTTTTCCAGCCAGGGTGGGCAGGCCACGCACTGGAGACACAGGAGTCCTTGACATCGACCATGTTTTCCATGATCCTCCTGCTTTTGCCCTCTCGTCCCCTTCCCTGAAATTTTCGAACTCCTGAGATCGCGCAGTGAGCGCCGCCTGTTTTCGGGTTCTTCGGGGCTGGTGGGCGTGTTCGGGCCGGGTTCTGGGCTTGGGTTCCGGGGTTCCGGTCTGGGGTCGGGGGCTGTTGTTTCAAGGGGTCCGCCGCTGGATGGCTCGCGGATCACGACTCCATGAGGATCACACGTCATTCTTTCGGGGTGCTACACGACGGCACTTCTGCAGTGTGGAGCACAGGGTTTTCTCCCAAACGTGGTTTTCCCTGTGCCCCCATATTCTTAATTGGTGCTTTTGGGAGCACATGCCTCCTGCACAAGTCATTGTTGAAGACATGCTGGTCCCTCCTTTTCGAACTTAAATGACTGCAGTCCTCGTCGCAGGTGTGATCGAGCCCAGACCTGGCAGCAGCGCGGACGCCGCACCTACCAGGCGGACGTCTGCGTGTTCTTTGAAGTCATAGGAAGCCTCTCTCTTCTGGCCCCGGGGAATCAGAGCAAAATGCCAACGAGTTCCGTTTCAGGGCCTTTCTTGAGAGCACCTCCACGTGCCAGGCATCCAGGCCGCGACTTGACGCCAAAGGCCGAGGGACTCCAGCACAGCAGGCAAGGGAGTCTTTCCACCAGCACTTCACGTCCCTTTCGCAGGTGATGGCATCTCCCACGACATCCAGCCCGGGCCTGGGAGAATCGAAAAGCCCAGCCTCAAAAAACGGTGGGATGTTTGGGATGTCCCTGAAACTTCGGGGGGGGTCGTCTCGTCATGTTCATGGGCCAGGCCATGGGGGGTCGGGGGGGGGGGGGAGAATCCGGCATATCGTGTGCAAGTTGGGGCCAGAGTGGGGGTGGGGAGAGAGGGAGAGAGAGGGACTGCCCCCCGCTGTCCCAAACTGGAGGTACGATGGCCTCTGGGGAGCCATCACGACGTTTCCAAAGCGTCAGCCCTTTGCAACGAACGTGATCGTCGCAACCGTACCTTGGCGGAGAGGGAGGGAAAAGTCGCGTGTTGACAGGTTGACAGGCTATATTTGGGAGGAGTTTGAGCCGATTTTAAGCCAGCAAGCTGATTCTCTGCGCGCGCGGTAAGGTCAAGACGTCCGTAGCCGACCTCATAGCCCACAGCCTCAGCTCCGTTCGCTTCGAAGCTCTGTGGGACCACGAGCGTCAAAGGCTTGAATTACGCGCGAAGGTGCAGAAGGCCGAGGGCAAAGAGAAGGTGGACTGGCAGAGGAGCTTCATTTTAGACATACCAGCAAAATTCTGCCAATGTTTGCGAAACAGTTTTCTTGCCAAAATGAGTTGCCCTTGCCTGTGGAGGAACGGTGCTTTCACTGCCTTCGGCTTCGCCTACCTCGGCATAATACAATGTGGCCTTGGCCGCCCTTTGAAGCCCTTAAGAGGCTTTTTTTTTTCAGAAGTGAGCCTCAGGAGATCCTTACAGAGTCCTAACTGAAGAATCAGAAGCAAGACGGGGGAGCACTGAACCCCCGTCTCCTTCCTTGAAGCGCCAGGGTTCATCTACGTGACCTTGTTCACCCGCCTCTGCCCCCATGCCATCCGCTTCGCCAACCTCCCCTTCGCCTGGGCCTTAGGCCATTAAAATCTTTGAGGATAAGTGGAGTAAGTGGAGTAAGTGGACGAAGTGGATTGAGTGGATTGAGTGGATTGAGTGGAGCAGGATCTGCCACCTTCGAAAAGGAATATAGCGTGAGTAGAGGAAGGAGGGAAGGAGGGATGCCCTGGGACTCTTTGCGCTCGTTTGAAGGCAGAGAAGCTGAAGGACCGAGCGGGCCAGATGGATCTAGTTAAGCAGGCCGGCCTGTGGCTGTGTTTACTGTGTTCTCCACATTCTCCTCAGAGTTCTTCCTAGCCGCTAGCTCCACATCCCACAGACGTGCTTGGACAACTTTGTCCACTACACGTTTGTGTACTTCCCCGTCTTCTATGTCATCAAGGACTGCCGAAAAATACCGGATGCCGGAGCCGCATCGTGAGGAGGTATCGTCTCGTTCCGAAACATTGAGCACTGTTCAGCTGCGTCGCAGTGTCGCAATGTCGGATGTTGTGCTGCGCCTTGTCTCAGTTCTGAAGTTCGGGGCCTTCACCGTGGGGGTATGTGCGTGATAGGAGGGTATCAACACCGTCACCGCCAGCAGCCAGGCTGGAAGGGGTGGGGAGACGGGGGAGATGGGGGAAGGCAAGGGCGGCAGAGGCAGGCCGAAATGAGCATTATGGCTCAAGATCGAGGAGTTGGGGAGCTTCAGTTTGGCCACGACCACAGACAGAGTCTCAGTTTCTGTTGGGGAGGGCACCCTCGTGGTGAAGGTAGGTGGTCAAGGGGCTGAGATGGAGGAGCGTGTCCCCGCAGAGGAGGGGGGCCACGGTGGAAGTTGGAGGAAGCACCATGAGTTCGCGAACGGCGACAAAACCCTGAGCGCGATATAGGCAGGCCGTTCATACAAGGAGGCCAGAGGAGAGCGCCCCCGATGCTCGCAAAGACCGCGGATGAAGTAGCCGGGACGAGTATGACTTTGACAAAGGATGCAAGGTGTGCTTTCCGTTGCACGGATGGGGAGGTGGACTGACTAGCGCGCCAACGCCGCCCAGCAGGAACCGTCGTGGCCTGGAGGCCGGTCAAGGCAGCTGTGGGGGGGAAGCCCAGGAGGAGGAGGAGGAGGAGTTGACTGCGTCTTGGGTTGGCACGTGTCGCAGACACAAATCGAGGAGGAGGAGCTGGACGCAGGGGAACAAACAACATCTGGGCGCTTGCGGGATCAAGTTTGTCGAGTCGCTCTTGAACCTGCCGGTCCGACGCACGTAACCCAGAAACTAGTAGAAACCCTTGGCGCCGCAGGCCATGTGTGTGGGCTGGGCAGAGGGATGAAGAAGAGCGTCCCGATGCTTCGTGGAGTGGGGAACGCTAGGAGGGGACGACTGAAACCAACTCCAACGAGCAGGAAGACGAGGTTCAAGGGGGGGACAACAGTACAACCGAAGAATTATGTGACAATTATGTGCCAATCAAGTACCCTGAGAGCCGGAGGGGTCGATTCGTCATGCATCGGCCCACTTCTGCGTGACATGCCTCTTCGGAGAGGATTTCTGCAAGAAGGGCCGGGCGAGGAAGGCCGCGAAAAGTTCCCACAGCGAAGATGCGCGAGACGCCGTCGAAGCCGCGGGGCAAACGATATGAAGCCGGAGAACATCCAGGAAGGTTGGGGGGAGCAAGAGGGCCGCATGGGGGCGAAGGGCGAAAGCCCAACCTTCCGATGAGGAGAACTCCACCACTCCAACAAGCAGGGCGCTGACAAAGCAGAAAGCCGACCTGGTAAAGATTAAGGTGGTCGTGCTGGATGTCGTGGGTGCAAACCGACAAAGCTGGCAGGTGCAGGGCGTTCTGGCAGCGCATTCGTTTGCCCCTTGTTGCAGATTCCGTGAAATCTTGTCCTAGCAGTCTACTACACGCAGTTTCACTGAAGTTAGACACTTCACGTTTGTCTCCCGGAAGATCCGTGTTCGCCGTGCCTCTATTTTGGCGTGCGATTTTTTCACTTGTGTAGACTGGGATCGAGGTTGGCGGGTGGGGGGTACAGCCCCTGCAAAAGGGAGAGAGAGAGAGAACAAAAAAAAACGTGCTGGAAGGAAGAGGAGAAGAAGATTAAGGAGATTGAAGGAGGAAGTTGAGGCAGAAGAAGAGCCAAAACAAGTCGTCGCGGTGGGGTGACAAATCCTGCAAAAAGGCGCCGGCACCGGCCGAGCCCCTCGTCTCCCGTGCGCTGGCCAAGTACTGGAGGCAGAGGGGGGGCCATGGCTTCTGCGTGGCAAAGGGAAAAAAGCACATCAAAGCACCAAATTTGCCCCAACACAGCAAAGCTTGCAAGGTCCAGCACGCCCAAAAGAAATCCCACGCCCAGGAATGCCGTCCAGGACAACCTCTACATGTGGGCTCTGTGGGCTCCGCACCCGTGAGTTTCCATGTGCACTTGAGTGAACTTGAGTGGAGACCACCGAGTTTAGGACGGTGTTGTGCGGATGTCCTGAAAGGTCCCTTTCGACCTGATCATCTATGCGGCGTTTCGCCCAGCTTCGCTTGCGATGCCATGGCAAAGCCTGACTGGGAGCTTTTGCAACTCTTCCAAGCCCCGCGAAGTGCCATGTGGAGTTCCATGTTCCTACTGAGAGAACCAGCGGGAAAGGTGCCCATCTGGATGAGACTACCGCTGAACCACAGTGTCAGTCTTGCCTGGACCATGATCCTGGTGCCTTGGCCATTGCACTGGTGTGTAGCCTGAGCAGCACTAGCCCTTCCCACGCGGTAGTCGCTATAGTCGTAGTACTCGTTGAGTGGTCCGAAGTTGTTCCGGCCCGGCCAGCTGCATGTGCAACGTGCCTTCTGCACAGAAACCTCCTTGCACTCGCTCCTCCTGTCCTGCAGAGCGCGCTGCGCGGCAGCGAGAAGTAAGAAGTGACGGCCGGTCACTCGGCACTCTGTTGGAAGTAGCGGGGTGCTCAGAGAAGACTTCATTAGGCACGTTGAGGCACCCGATTTCAAAGCGCACAGCAGCCCTCTCAAGCTCTCAAACGCCTACTTGAAGCCCCTGCAATGCCCCTGCAATGCCCAGGTCCAGGCAGAATGTGCGAGCATCACGCGAGCATCACTAACTTTGATGGCTCGTGGCTCGCGCTTGGCGCACTTGCTCTGAAGGCCCTTCAGAGCTTCAATACGACTGGGCTCCAGGAGTTTTGGAGTGTGGCTATCTACCCGAATCGGCAGCGACGGAAGCCTTCAAAGCGGAGAAGCATGGGCCAAGCCCGCTGTAGCGGGAGCACCATGGGTTGCTTTGCTTGCCAGTAAAACAGCCCAAAGATTCGCCGGGAGATATCCACATGAGCCCATCAGGCACTCCATTTTTTCCAAGGGTTTGAGCGCAAGGGAGTGGTTGAAGTATGGTTGAACTACATCCAATCTTTTGTTTGGATGCTGGAACCCTTCCGGATCCATTGGAAGAAGATCTCGTGGATGCTTTGGTCACTGGAGCCAAAGTTATCTCATGCTCCAAGCTCTACGCAGCTCTACACGTCTGCACCCGCAGATACAAGCAAAAAACAAAAATGACCGAGAAAAGGACCGACTTGACTGCGGCTCCTGACTCTAGAGAGATTTGAGGGACATGTGAATGCACTGCATGTGGTGCCAGCGAGTGGCAGCTTTGCACAGTGGTGCCGGCATGCTGACATCCTTTGGCTGCAAAGTCCCTGAAGATGACATTTCCCCCCCCACCCCAGCCTCACACCTCCCATCGAAATTTCACCACCCAGCCGCACAGCCAGCGCGCAGCACCAAAGCACACAGCCAGACCACTCGCACGGAGAGTAAGAGCAACTGGTGCAAGTCATGGCGCCTCAAATGTGACCCAACCGGTCAGTGACTCTCAGCCTCTGCATTTTAAACCGAGAAATTGTCCCCACCCCAAGGGTGCCGGGCATGACTTAGAGCTCTCTGGGCCCACGAAGTCGGTGGCGCGGGCCGCCGCCCGGGTCCTACGTGAGCCACATCTCAAAGACAAGAGCACTGGTTCCTTCCTTCCTCCACTCCTCCCTCCCTTCTTTCCTTCCTGCATTCCGCAGCTGCTCCGGCACCAAGGTTTGCGGCCATGGATGCCGAAAAGATCAACGACCAAGAGGCGGCTCGAGAGACGTCAAACTTGTCAGGATGATTCGAAGATGGTTTTCAGAGTGCTTGGCGTGCTTGATGGGATTCTGGATCGTGTGAAGCCGCCGCCTGAATCTCTGTCAGCTGGACAGGCGAAACTTCTGGAAACGTCGCTGGCATCGTGGCCCTGGCGCTTTCAACCGGAATATGTGGACTTCCTATGGACTTTTTATGAACTTTCCATTCCGTTGCCTTTGTTGCCTCGGGTGAAGCAGGAAATCTGTCTTTCAGATAAGCTGAGAGTCGCATGGCGCATGGCTCATGACCCAACCGTACGAACTCGTTTGAGTCGCCAGGGTGCCGATCTTTCAGGGATGCGAGGACCGAGCAGAGACTCACAGAGACTCAAGAGGTAAGAAGAGCGTTCTCAAGAGGCTGCATGGACAAGCGGGACAGTAACCGGGGCAGTCACCGGGACCGTGAGAAACAGTAGCCTACTCCATTCAGGCTCAGTGCGCTATTTATGATGTGTTGCAAGTGAGCACGTGGCATGAAGCTGTCCTCGTGCACAAAGTGTGAGGAGGTCTTGATAAAGCAGATCGCCAAGAAGGTCTCCGAAGTTGGATGTGGGACTTCAGGGCTTCAGGGTGCGTTTTTGGAAGCAGTGGGAAGGCAAAGAGGCAAAGTGCAGCGCAGCGGGAAGTTAGCGAAGCTCAGCTACGCGAAGGCGATGTGCAGGCGATACGAAGGCCACGAGGAGATTGTCTTCTCCGACCAGGCCCAGTATGATCCATATTTGTTAATTCCTCATCGTTCCTTTAAGATTGGAGTTTTACACTTGCAAGTCTTCGAAGGCTTTCTTTGCTTTGGTGGCACGATTAGTGGTGAAAGATGCAACTTCCGTGGTTCCAAAGCTCAAGCTGAACCTGAGAACGGGCACACTGTCCGGTGCAGTGTCTCGGCCAGGTCCCGATGCTCGTGGTCTTGTCTGGCGCGGTTCGCATCTGCATCGGCTGCGCACCAGACTCTCGGATGCATGGTGCGTCCTTTTGCGGGTGTGTGACGCCCAGGCGAGGGAAGGATCAGCCTGCATGAAATCCATCAGCTGTTGCAAGACCTCGTGATGAACGTACCCTGCACGGATGTGCGTCCTTTGCGGGTGTGTGCAGGATCCGAGTAGAGATGAGGTCGCTGCTGACAGACACAGACACAGACACAGAGACACAGAGATACAGAGACACAGAGACGCAGGCACGCAGACACGCAGACATGCAGACACACACACACACACACATACACACATACACACATACACACACACACACACCCACACCCACACCCACACCCACACCCACACGCACACGCACACGCACTTGCACACGCACACGCACACGCACACGCGCACACACGCACACACGCACACACGCACACACGCACACACGCACACACGCACACACGCACACACGCACACACGCGCACACGCACACACGCACACGCACGCGCGCGCGCAAGCACACGCGCACACGCGAACACACGCGCACACGCGCGCACACGCGCGCACACACATATGCAGACCTTTCGAAATGCCTGGCTTAAAAAAGTTGCTTTTGGAGAGCTTCAGCCCAAGGACACGGATGCCGGGCCTGGGAGCGCGCTCAACATTCCTGGCATGCTTGGCCTGCACGAGCTTGCAGAGCCCTACAAGCCCAAGGCACACGCGTTCCGACGCGAGCCCGCTCCGAATGTCATGAGCTTTGTGGGGTTTCTTCCGTGTTGTTGTGCTTTGCGTGGTGCATTTGGCTCTCTGTGTGATGCGTTGCAGGCAGGAAAGTCGGCGAGCGACCCAAATGATGATCTTGATGATTGTGTGTCCATGGACGCAAAGACTGCTCAAGGCCCCCTAAAGGACTGGCGGATCTTTGGTGGCCTGTCTGTTGTTCCGCTCTAGACTCTAGATTGCTGCGGTCCTCCTGGATTTCCTAAATCGTGAGGACGAGGTCCAGAACATCTACAACCTGTGCCCCATTAGCTGCCTCAACAGCCAGAAGCAGACCAATCTTTCTGGCTGGCTCCGCATGGCCCCTCGAAGTGCTAAGAAGGGTTGCTTCGAGAGGGTTCAGAAAGCATAATAGGCTCCTTCATGCTCCTTCCAACTGATGTCCTAAGGACATCAAGCCAGCGGATGGTGCCGGCGTAAAGGTTGCAATGGCGCCTTGGCCGACCGACCCTCGTATTGGGGTTCTTTGGGTAATTGGCCGCATTTCGGCACGCTTTTCTTGAGAGATACGGTAGCCAGCACACTGTAGAGCACCGTGAGAGGTCTCGCTGGACTTGGTTGAGAAAGTTCTCGCCAAAGGCAGGGGCCTTCAGCAGAATCGCGTACACCTTGCAGTCTACAGCTCGTTCCACAACTCGCAGAAGCAACCACCTGCAGGTAATGCTTTGCGTCCGTTTCGCGAGAACTTGTCCACGTTGACGGAGCCTGGTGGCCATGAGGGCTTCGAAGCTTTTGGTCGAAGTCGATGGTTGGAAGAGGGAGGTGTACGATTGGAGCCCAGTAGAATTTCACCCGAGTTGAGCTCCAGGACCAGTTCATCTGCATCCTGCGTCACGGGATGTTCCCCGGCGTCCCACCGGAGGTTGCGCCCAGCACCGAAGTGTGTAGTTTCGGGGGCTCGGGGGGTTGGGGAGGCAGCTCAACACACAAGGCCTTCAGGCTTTCCAATCGGTTCTTGCAGGTGATTTGGCTGATTGCTTGCGGAACGCAGCGGCGACATTATGCCCCAAGGGAGACCCTCGTAACTTGGCCTTGGACACTGGCTGAGCAGGCTTACCATCTGTATGTCCAGAGCACATGTGCATGTCTATCTATCGCGAAAGTGTTGCCAGCTTGCCAAAGCGTCAGATGTGATTCGCCGTTCAGTCAGTCGGTGTTGTGTGTGTGTGCACGACGACTAGCGCTGTCAAGCATGTTGCGAAAAATCACGCGACAACTGGCGACCTGTGCGGAAGTTCAATCATTTCGGCAGCCCCAGAGCCAGCTTGGGGCCAGTTTTTGTCCCACAAGTGTTTTTTGATTCCTCGTTGTCCATACCTAGTGCAGAAACACTCTTGTGCATGACGGTGGTGTGTTCATGGCAGAGCAAGCATCGAAGTTAGGTCGAGGAGGATGACCTGGGCGAGATCGCGGATTGGCTGATTGCCATCAACAGTGGCAAGGAGACTCTCGGGTAGGGTTTGCACTGGTTCGCACTGGTCTGCCTGGCTTCAGAATTCTGGAAGTATTCCGAGCCCCGTGCAACGGAGGCTGATGTGGAGAAGCTGAGCTACAACGGTGAAGAGGCACTTTCGCCATAAGAGCATGGGGTGTCCGAAAAGCTCAAAGAACGTCAAAGCCGTTGCGCTCCCCTTTGAGCCTCCCCCATCCCCACCTCCACCCGCCCCCCTCGAATCCAAATCACGGCGGGAGCACACGAATTGCGCGAAGCCTTCCACAGGCAGTGCCGCAGACAATCGGCTCTTTGAGTGAGGGCGCCGTCATGGGCGACGCTCCCTGGCCGCGGATGGGAGAAACTCTGATCTTTTGCAACTCAGTTGGCCCGAGTCGGGTTCTTTAATGTTGAGAGGAGTCTTGGAATGAGAGCTTGGGAGTGTGAGGGCAGCCGATGGCAAAAAGCGGTCTTCTCGGCTCATGACCTTCACCTTGACAGCTCTGCTCTATCAGAATCCTGTCGGCAGGTCTGCTTCTTGCATGGCGGGGTCCCCCGCGGAGCCACCGTGCGAGCGCAAACCGAGGCCGTCTCACGGAATTTCTGCAAGCCGTAAGGGAGATGCTAAGCCTGCTCAGAGTGTCTCAGAGCACCGGGGCATTGTTACTAATTAAAAACAGAGAGCATTCGGCCTTCCTTGTCTTGGGTGCTTTTGGAGGTGGATGCCATTGCGATCCCACCGAGCGCCACCCGGCAGCAGCTGGAGAGCAACAGGCCCTGAGACCCCTCGGATCTCAGCTGCAGAAGTGATGAGATGTGATGAGGTGCTGCATGATCTCATGCTGACGAAGCCGAGGTGATTCTTGACGCCCTGGCACTGTTTCCTGGGATAACTGGCAGCCACTTGGATCATTTCGCACTTTCATTTTTCATTTTTCTTTGAGGTTCGCCATTTCTTGATCTCTTCCCTTGCCGCCCCTTCCTGCCCCTTTTCCGGGAGGCTTCATGGGCCGGCTCCGGGAGATCGTGATGCAGCTCCAGGGCAGCCTCCCGCGGCCCGCGCAGGCGCTCAAGGCAAGGCAAGTCCACACCGGGCCCCGGGCCTTCGAAGCTCTCCCTCCTCCTCCCATCCCTCCCCTCCCACATTTCGCTCGCTCTGTTCTCTTTCTGTTCTCTTGGAGGGCATGCAGATCTTCTCCAGCTGCGACCTGGCCTTCCTGCGGGCCGTCGCCTCCGTCTCGGAGCGGAAGGCGGGAGGAAGACGGGGGAGACTGTAGCATGAGAAGAGCAGAAGGAAAGTGTGAAAGAGAGAGAGAGAGAGAGAGAGAGAGAGAGAGAAAGAGTTCCTAACCAACGCACCCACGGACATCGCGCGCCCCTCGGGGCAGCCTTCCCCTCGGGGGGGGCTAAGCGTGCAGGAGAGAGAGAGAGAAAGAGAGACTCAGGGTTTCGGGTTTAGGGTTTAGGGTTGCCAGCCTCAGACAGCACAACACCGCAACAAGCGGACCCCGACCACCGGGGAAACCAGGCAACGGCAGACGCAGAAGATGTTGACACAGGGGATGACGCCACGCCGGGAACGCACCAAGCAGGCGGGGGAGACATCCGGCGGGGCAACAAAGAAGACAAACTGCGGAAGAAAAGGGAGCTCCAACGAGCGGGGGTATACATACCCCCGCCGCCAGCCGACGACCCTGCCTACGGGTCACACCCATCAGTCAACCAGCAATGGCGCGACTACCAAGCCAGACTAAAGGCAGAGCTGCAGCAACAACCGACCTTAGCAGACCTACTAAACAGCCATAGGCAGCAGCCCGGCAGTCAACCACCGCAGCAGCAGCAGCAGCAGCCACAGCCTCCACCACCGGCAAGCACGGGGGAACCCACCCATCCGACAGCCACGCCACCACAACAACTAACACCGCAGCAGCCACCGGAGCAAACAGTGGAGCCCACACTGGACCCCACACCACAAGCCCCGCCGCAGACAGAACCTCAGCCCGACACCACAGTGGCACGGCCCTGGCCAGCCGACGCTTTCCCCCTCCGACAGGGGAACACGCCAGCCACGTACCGCCCACCCACGCTCCCACTTGCACCCTTCACGAGCGTCACCCTCAGAAAAAGCCCGGCAGCGCACCAGTGGACATTCACGATCCACCCACCCCAGCCACAAGACCGAGCCAAAGCAGACAGAGCAGCGGCAGCACCAGCTAACCGGCGGCCGCCGCCGGGCCTACCCCCGGGCACAGCGGGGAACCTCACTCTTGGCACGGGGCAAAAGTGGCACATGTTCATTGCACGAACACCGCCGCCTAACCATGTACGCAGCATACCGGGCGGGCCCTACAGGACAGTACACCCCGGACAAACGCTGACGGTCACGGACGCCAACGCACCACGCATACCCCTCCCTCGGAACGACACCCAGGGAGCACACAGCGGCAGCCAAACGACACAGCCTCAGCAGCCAACGGCGCCCAAACCGCCACCTGCCAAACCCAAACCAGAAAGGCCGCCCCCGCCGAACCAACCCAGTGGCAGTCTACGCCCGCCTCCGCCACCTGCAGGGGGGAAAGCGCAGCCAACCCAGCCACCGATCAAGGCCCCGCCACCACCCAAACAACCGCCACCACAGACACCTGATTCAGACTCGTCTGGCGAAGATGACGGCGAGTACCCACCACCAGAATCAGATTCCGACGATGCACAGCTCTGGCAGTTGCCGAGGGGCCCACCCAACCCACAACCACCACCACCACGAGAGACCAATGCGGACACGCACATCCAAGAAGCAGCTTCACACGTCCGCAGAGCACTCGACATACTAGCAGACCCCAACACCGACAACGATGAAGTGGCGTCCCACCTCCTCACAACCATGCTTATCCTCGGGTATGACGAGGAAAACCAACCGCCGCCGCTCCTGGCGGAGACAGACGCCCCCAGCGACAGTCCACCGACACCCCAGCAGCCCCACCGTTCCGGGGAAACAGCAGCTCCCAACAACCGCCAGACCATGCCAACACTGTCCGAGGAAGAAGCCACGGAGGAAGAAGAGGAGCAAGAGAGGGCGCTGTATAGGTGGAGAGAAGAGGAGGAGAGACAGGAAGAAGCTTGGCATCAAAGTGTCATAGACAGATACTATAGAGATAAAGAGGAGGAGGAAAGGCAAAATGCGGCAGCAGAGCCACCGGCAGCAACACCAGCAGAGCGGAAAACGACGAGCGCCAGCAGCTGCAGCCTCACAAACAGAGCAAGCAACACCGACCCGGCGAGCAGCAGCAGAGAGCACCAAGAAACAGACGGCAAACAGGGGCGAGCAAGCCGGCGCAGCCCCGCGCAGGGGGAAAACCAGCAGCCACGCAAAAAGCTGAAACAATGCACCGCCAGCATCCGGGAAGCCATCCGCATTAGCAACATGCTTGCCACCCCAGCACCGGGACAGAGGCCGCTGACCCAGGATGAGCTGCAGCAAGACCTGGGAACGCTCCTGCAGCTCTTCCAGCAAGCGCAGAGGGAGCTGCAAACACTACGCCCCGCAACGACGGGGGCAGCCCACACTTGCAGAGGCACACGAGCGTGTGCAGAAGCCATCGACCTTCTCCACGACATGCTTAACGGGCCCCCCCTGGGGAAAGATGCAACCCTCCTCGGCAACCTCCTTGCGCAGCTCGGTGCTCAAGGGGAAGTGTGCATGGCGGCCATGATGGAAAGCGGAGAAGAAGGGCAGATCCAGTCAGAGGCGGAGCAGAAAGTGCACCCAGCCGACGTTCTAGGCCTGGCGGCAGGGGGAGAAGACACGCATGCGGGGAGGAAACAAGGGACCGGCAGCCAATCGCTACAACAAGCCAGACAGCAACTGGTGCACGTGATGCCCTTCTTGGAGACCAACCAGGCCAGCATGGTGCAAGAAGCCATTGGACACATGGACGCATGGCTCGGCATGATGTTCGGGGCATCCACCGTCATGGTGGAAGACAGTCAAGACAGTGCAGGGCTGGCGACAGGCTCGGAGGGCAACCAAGGCAACGTGAACGGGGAACACTCAGCGCAGGGGCCCCCGATGGGGGAAAGTGGGCAACCTCAAAATGCGGGGGAGCCAATCACGCAAGAGACGCAGCCGTGGCCACCGAGAACCACGAGCACAACGAGTACTGAGAGCGGGCAGTGAAAAGCACACTGAAACAATATGCCCGAATGGGCAACTACACCGCTGGAATAAGGGGCACAATAGTGAAGCATACTAATACCTTGATCCTAGGGGAAGTGACACACATTGACCACGTTAGGGGGAAAGGGGAAGGCTTCGGGAGGTTCTGCGAGGGTTCTGTTTGGGGGAAGGAGGATAAGGGCTTTTTGCATCGGGGGACGGGGCAGGCTTCGGGAGGTTCCATGAGGTTCGTTTCCTGGGGACAGGGGGAGGTTGGAGGGGTAACACGCAAGCCCTAACATACACCAGCGGGGGCAAAGAGGGTGAAGCCAGTATAGAACATACTCTTGGCCTCAGCCTTAGGGAGCATAGCTGTGTTCCTATCCCGAAGTAATGGCACCCTCTGAAGCCTAGAAGTCCACCAAGCTAGGCCCAGCAGGTCGGGAGAACAGTGTGAGAGTAGCAGTGCTTCCGTGGTGTGGAAATCCCGAAGCCGGCTGGCCATAGCAAGCGTTAGGTATCACCGACGGGGATGTGGGGGCCAGCCCCGGGGCAATGCACCCGGGGAACCACACAACACAGAAAGGCCTAACTGCAGGAGCCCGTCGCTGTAATTTCACCCAGACCTGACTCACCTCCGGGCGCGCCTGGTGCGCGGGGGTCCTCCCCCATGCCCTGCAGAAGAAGAAGACTCAGAGCGGTTCACGACACTACAGCACTCCTGCTATCTCACAAACTGACCAATGGGAGGGTCAAAGCGCGCGGAAAGAAAGGTTCTCCCTCCCCATGCCCGGCAGAAGAAGAATAAGGAGAAGAGAGAGGGAACATCCCAACAGCCAGCGTTGCAAATGGCTTCCCTACCTCAGCAAGACATGTGTTGCAGGTCTTCTTTGCTGGCGACCAGGTTAGAGAGGACTCCCAGATTCCCCTTCCGTGCTAGTGGACTCATCTGAGAAATCAGCCGGCGCTGTGTGCCAAGATCAGCTCACACATGCCCAGACCTGCTCAGCTGCAAAAATCGATCATGCCCTGAACCAGGAGGGAATTATGGACGACACGCTGCGGGTCATCGAGTTTGGCCGATGCCGTGTTGAGCGTCGGAGTGAAGGTCGGCGGTTCAGGGGAACCGGCTACACGGGAGTGGCAGAGCAAGCACAAGATCACAAGGCCCCCAAACTCCAAAACATCGTGCCCTTTCTCTTGAGGTGGTCGCGGCGTGGAGTTCTGCGGCTACTGCGATGTGGGCACCGTGCTGGGCGAGCGCAGGCCATCCGGCCATCCGGTCATCCCCCAAGTTCTCAATTCGCCAAGAGTAGGACCCGACCTTTTCGGGCTGCGCGCAGGTTCTTCAACATGCCATCCATGTGGCCAGATGCAACCTTCCGGATTGCCACGCCGTTGGCTCTCCTCCTCTTCATCCCGAGGCAGGGTCAGAAGGGCCGGGCTTATGGGAAGAGAGGAATGACTCGGAATGACCAAACCCGGCAACTTTGGCCGGGACTGTGATGAAGTGTGAACGTGTGAATGGCACTCTCCAGATGTGGGCTGAGCCATTGCATGTTTGTGTGCGTGCGCTACCACTCTGGTATCAGGCAGTCTTTCAACGGCGTGCTAGACAACTACCCCTCGGAGCAGCAGAGGTTCCGGTTGGTGAAGGCAGGGTACTTGAAGACCCAGACAAAAAGTCGATGGGCGCTGCTATGTCCAAAGCCACGGCCACGCGAAATTCGTCAGATCGCCTTCTGCACAATTGGCCCTAACTTGTCCAGCTACGTCCGCGCCGGTGAGCGCAGGAAAACTCGAAGACGGATGGGGGGAATGCGAAGAGAGAGCACGACGCGGCCAGTGCTCTTCTTATTGCTTGCCGGGGCATAGAGCGTTTTGAGCGGGGTGGACCTCCAAACTCTCTCTCTTTTCTCTCCCTATCTCTCTCTCTCTCTCTCTCTCTTTCTCTCTCTCTCTCTCTCTCTCTCTTCCTCTCGCTCTCTCTCTCTCTCTCTCTGTCTTTCTTTCTCTCTCTTCACTTTCTGCACTTTCTTGACTCAGCCTCAGAGTGCAGTCCTTTCAGCTCTTGTTTAAGACCTAAGGGTGGTCTAACTTTGTTTCTCGTGGTCTGGTCAAGCGACTTTGTCAAGTCTGGGCCCGCCGCCCCCTCTCCCCGCAAATTCCGAGGCCTGACGATTCTGCAGGGGTGTGGGCCCGGCTTCCTCCAAGCCATCGCAGGCACAGGGCTCTCCCAGTGTCAGAGCGCTTGTCCTTAGAGGCTTTGGGAACTTTTGGATCCCTCGATTCCTTGGACGGGAGAAGTTCCCGGGATTTCGGGGACTCGGAGGTAAAAAGGAGAGAAAGGGGGGGAACGAAAGAGGAGCAAAAGGAGGGGTGGGCATCCACCACATGAAAGAGTGTCGGGCCACGCGGAGGCTGCATTCGGACGGTGACCTACAAGATTGGCCAGACGATCACTGTTCAAGGTGCAGTTGATTCTGGCTCAATGTGGCTCGATTGCACCATGCCACACGCTCAACACCAGCGTGCCCCTCGAAACACCAGATGCGGCAGTGTTCTCGGTGCTCTTTTGCGTTAGAGAGTTGCATGGTTGAAGGCCACCGTTGAGAAGCCGAGGTATATCATCAAAGGCGGATCGGCCGAGGTGTTCGTGAACCATCGCTACGTCAAGGATGTACTCAGCTCAGCTTGGAGACTTTGAAACTGTAAAGCTCACCGTAAAGCTGGGGGGCCTCCAAGAAGTTTGCGTGTGGCCCCCAGCGGCCCTAGCAGTAGCGGGCGGGGCCTCAAGCTAGGAGTTGCTCACCGCCAGCATACAGAGCCCGGTGAAGCAAGAAGGACACCAAGCAAGCCAAGACGCCAAGAAGCCAAGAACGACTGCAGCAAACGATCCACAGTGTGTTGAAAACCTGAAAGAAACAGGCCGAATCAAGGCACGTTGAAGGCCCTCCGCGACGGGCAAAGCCATAGAGCCATAGAGTCTGAGCGGAGCTCAGAGGGCTTTATACTCAGATGAGAAGGGAGAAGCCTCACTTACCGACGAGTCTGGGGCGCAAGCTCTCTAGAAGAGGTCCACGCGGGCGACAGCTTCGGGGAGCTCACCATCCTTGGATTCGTGAAGCGGCGGAGTGCTGTGGTGCGCGCGAAGGCTGGGGGCCCACTCTCAACACACGAGTCGACATGTCTTGTGCGGGTTCGCTACCTAGACCTTTCTTTCTGAGTTCTGAGTTCTGAGGAGATCTGCATTGTCCTGGAGATGCCAAGAGCGGCTTTCATTGCAGCGTTGGAGGACCACCCGGAGGCTCGCTGGAGAGACAGGCGAAAACTTTTCACAAGAGGAGCGACGCGCGTTGTGGGCTCTGAATGCTACAGCTTTGCTTCATCTTGTGCTGCCAGCAGGAACAAGAGCACTTTCAGAAGATCGGACGTCAACATGGCGTCGTGGTCTCGAGCCCCTGGATCGGGATCTTATGGCCCAGCTCCGAAAAGGTTCATGGCAAAATAGCTCGGTACTCTGAAGGCCAGGTCGACTGCTGTAAAAGGTTCTCTAAAGTCCCCTACAAATAGGGAGTTCATTCAAGGGGCATGCAGGCAGGATGCTGTGGAGGCCCTGGGTGTCACTGGGAATCAACCACTGAGGCACCCAGTGGCCCTTGTTCGTTGGTGCCTCGCAGAAGCTTCTGTCCCTGATCAACCTGTATGCCAGGCGGGCCCCTGGGCTAAGGGCTTGATGCTCAGAGATGAAGGGTGCAGTGCGTCATGCTTGCCGAGAAAGGAGGGTTCCGCCATGTTCCGTTCCCGCGTGCCGTGTGAAACTGTCTCGACGCAGGAAGCACATCACTGCCAAGGGGCTCTGGTCCACGTTCAACGGGGAGCAGCTTCCAGAGCAGGCGGCCATCCTCGTGCTCCGTGGGGAGCCGCTCGGCACGCAGCTGTTGGTGCGCTGTGGACGCCGGCCCTTCTGCCGCCCCCAAGGATTCGCATGATCACCCCGGACAAGGGCGAGCTGGTCTTCGTGGAAGGTCCCCAGACGGCGCTACTACAGATCCCGACAACGCAGCCCCCCCGTGAAACGGATTGAGGGCGGTCCCCCGCCCTTCCCCCCCCCCCCCCCTCCTAAACCCGACTGGGCGAAGGGCGAACAGCCGAGGCACCTGCTTCAACGAGCAGCTTTTGTTCGGGCTTCCGCCTCTGGAGGGCCGACTGCAGCCACAAGGGAACTGCGAGGTCCAGATCATGCCGCCTGCCAGAAGATTTGTCTGCTGCAGCGCAGCAGAATCACACAAAGCAGACCGTTGGCGACTCTCTCCGGCGTTGCGAGTCGTAGAACTCAGTAGTAGAACCTGGAGTCCGAGCAGCCGAGGACGGCTGAAATCTTCGACCGGGTCGTGTCGGCTCCTTGCCGCAGTCTTTCCAGAAACAACCTCACAACACTCCAGCCCGTCATCTCCATTTTCCGGCCTTTTAAAGGCAAGATGCTGGCATAAGGGGCGTCCGAACTTCCCATCCCACACCCCACCTACCAAGAGAAGAGGCACTGCCGCCGAGGTGGAAGGTGGAAGGCTGTTTGCCCTTGTTTCGGGAGAGGGAGATTCTCCCGAGGAGTGCCCCAATGAGCGTGACTTCATCATGCAGCGCATCGTCAATGAGATCGCCCGCAAAGCAGAGCAAAGCATCGGCTTCCAGCGAGGAGCGGGCTCGGAGGAATGGCATCCCGAACCCCATGTAAGCCCATGGGGGAATCTCTCGCAGTTCCCATAAGAATACGGCCCTTTGTGGGCCATGTGCGAAACCACAACAGTTCTGAGGAACGACAACTTTTGGGGTTCCTGCTGCTGGTGCACGGACCCAAAGGGCGCCCCTGTGCCTCCCCTTGGCCTCCGCTCGCAGGAGACTTGGGTGGAGCGCTGGTCCTCTCCACGGTCATCCAGGCAAGTACTCTTTAAGCGCATGGTCATAAACGTAATTCGCAAGCAGCTCACTGAGCAGACTCTTGTTGGGGGGGGGGCATCTCTAACACTCTTTCTCTCTTTCTCTCTTTCTCTCTTTCTCTCTTTCTCTCTTTCTCTTTCTCCTGTGATTTGTTTGACGTGTAAGTTTCCGGGAAAGGTCGCCGCGGACGAGTTCGCGGACCAGCTCCGGAAGCGGATCGACGCCCGGATCTACGAGCCGGGGATGCTCCTCACCGCGCCCCAGCTAGCGAAGGGGAGAATTTGATTTTGCGCGCAGAATGGAAAAAAAAGGGCGGACAAAAACAAAGAAAAGAGAGGCCTCTCAAGAAGAAAGATTCTGCCCCGGAGCTTTTGTTTCAACTTGCAGCTTCCCTTCCGGAGCCGAGGATGCCGGACAAGAAGGAGACTGCATGCAGCTTGTGCTGACATTGAGCTCCCAACCCCCTTCGCCCCCCCATCGCCCCCCCTTTAAAAAGCAAAGAAAACAAGTATGTGAGGGCCCCATAGCCACGGTGAATGCCGATCCCAGACACCCTGCACCCAAACCTGCCCCAGCCCAACCTGACCTGAAACTGTTTTTTGCAGTGTGCTTTCTCTTTTGGCTTTTGTTTTTCAGGTTTGTGCTGGTGGAGGGCGAGGCCGAGAACGAGGGCGATGGCACTTGCCGTGGCCGGGCGCTTCGGCTTCTCGGCAGGATCTGGCCCGGCCTTTGGGGGCTTGGCTCCATTGATCCAGGTTGTGAGGTTGAGCTTCAGCTTTCCAGACTTGGACTGAGGCTGAAGTCCGGCAGCGTCATCGGAGAAACTTGTCCGAAATATGTTGCGTATCTCATGTCCGCGCCCTGAGAACGAGTTTGAGCACATGGTTGTGAGCACCTCGATGAGGAGTCGGTACTTCTCGGCGTGGCGCGTGGCTCTTCCGGCATTTTTACAGGTCGCAGAGACGTCTCCTTTCGCACACCGGGGGGGGGGGGGGAATCAAGCGGAGGCTTGGGTAGGCAAGGGGGGGGGGATTTTGGTAGAGGCCTTCTCTCGGATGTTCTCAGCCAAGGCACGCATCCAAACCGGATCCGCGCGGTGACGCGCTGCATCGCGCTGGCCCTGACGCGAGGCGCGGACCCTACGGACGCCGTGACTCCGTGTGACTCCTTGTGACTCCGCGTCACTCCTTGTGACTCCGTGTGACTCCGTGTTTTCCTCCCTGCCCTTTTCGGCAGGAGGGGTTCTCAGGCAACAACAAGCATCTTCAATGGCACTCATCTGGATAGCGATAGTGCCGATAGTGTAGTCGAACCGTGGAAGCGACGTGGAACTTGCCAAGATTCGTGCAGTACCATGTGATGCGCCAGCTTCGGAAGAACGCTTGTCATCAACCGGTGAAGCATCTCATGGCCATGGAATACCGAAGGTCTGACCCCCCGCATGGTGGGATGCGGATCAAAAAACAATTTATTTAGGATCAAGAAAAAATTTATTTAGGATCAAAAAATAATTTATTTAGGATCAAGAAATAATTATTCTGTTCTTCCGACGGAGAGAGGGAAGGGGAGGGAGGGAGGGAGAAAAGGAGGGAGGGAGGGAAGGAAGGGCGGAAGGGCGGAAGGACGGAAGGAAGGAAGGAAGGCAGGAAGGAAGGAAGGAAGGAGGGAAGCAAGCAAGCAAGGAAGCAAGGAAGCAAGGAAGGAAGGGAAGGAAAGGAAATGAAAGGACAGGAAAGGATATGTAGGAAAACATACCATAACATCACATGTTATAATATATATGTGTGTATATGTTAAAACAAAGTGTAGCAAAATATTGCAGTGCCATAGAGTAGAATAGAACACAATATCGTATAATATACCTTTGTATCAAAAATATAATAAAATCGAAATAACAAAGCATATATGTATATATTTTATATTTCCTGCTGTTTGATGTAGAATTCACAATACACAATACATATTTCTTGTTTGTTTGGCGCCGGGCAAGCTTCTTCAACGCGTATGAACCCCTTCCAAACCTATGATGCGAGCATTGTGGGGGGGGGGGGGGTCTGCGCCCCCCCTTCAAACCCCCCGCTGTTGTTTAAAGCCGGGCAAGCAGCGTATGAATATCTTTTCCAAACCAATGATGCGAGCGTTGTGTTTGCAAATGGGGGGGGGGGGGGGGGGCTGCTATATAGAAAACACAAAAACACAATGACATACAACAATATATAATAGTGTACGAAAACTACAATAATATACAATAGTAGACAAAAATATACAAGAATATACAAGAATATACAAGAATATACAAGAATATACAAGAATATACAAGAATATACAAGAATATACAAGAATATACAAGAATATACTATAATATAGAATAATCTGCAATAATATACAAAGAAAATTCAAGAATATACAAGAATTTTGAAAATAACATTCAATAACATGCAATAATGTGGAATATTCCACAAAAACACAAGAAAACACAAGACAATACAGAAATACTCAACAATATATACAACAATGTACAATAATATGCAAGAATATTCAACGTCATACAATATTATACAAGACTTTCCACAATACTATGCCAGAATATACATGCTTCAGAGTAGATGCATTTTTTTGAAACTTCTAATGCCAAGATGCCAGCATTGATTTGCAGCCTCTGCAAACTCAGAAATGCTGCTATTTGCAGTATTTCCAGCCTCTGAAATCGCAGAAATGCTGCTATTTTCAGTATCTGCAGCCTCTGGAAATTCAGAAATGCTGCAGTGTACCGTATTTCCAGCCTCTGAAAGCGCAGAACTGCTGCTATATACAATATCTGCAGCCTCTCTAGAAACTCAGAAATGCTGCTATTTTCAGTAGTTCCCGCATAAATGCTGTTTTTTTGAGGTATTTAGAGCTTGCTAACAGCCAGAAATGCTGCATTTCTGAGCGTTTACAGCCTCCGCTCCGCGTGCAAGAAGCCTTCGAAGCCTTCAGTAAATTATTTTTTGATCCCAAATAAGTTTTTTTTGATCCGCCTAGAAATAAATTATTTCTTGATCCCAAATAAATTTTTTTTGATCCCCTACCCCGCATGGTTGCTGCGTCTCCAGACTTTGAAGGTTCATAGCCAAAAGTCGGAAGGCTTCGAATCACGCAGAACCTTATGTACGAGTCCCCGGAACGCGGAACTGTAAAAGCGGGAAGGCAATACTGTGGTAGACTTACCTGTCGGACCGATCGAGATTTTTGACGGTGCAGTACAGATCTTGCAAGTTGCTTTGCCAGGCGTCTTCCGGCAGGCCCGGAGCGTAGCAGCTGTTGGTGTCACATTGTGCCGCTTTTGCAAAGTAGCTGCCGTGCAGGTGCTGGAAGAATTTCCTTCGCATGTCGAGTTGTGCCTTCGGCTTGAGAGCTTTGAGTTGGGGTGTTGGTCGAACGTGGATGTGGACCTTGCCCCTTTTCATCCTTTCCATCCTTTTGGCCCAGCATCCCCCCAGGTACAGCCACATGTCTTCGGCGAACCCCGAGCAAATTGAGCCGAGCAAGAGCGCACTGGACCTACAGGTTCGAAGCTTTCTGGAAATCACCATGGGTTCTGTCTGCGTTCTGTCTGTGTCCGACTTCTGTGTGGTCAGGAGCACTTGCACAGGAGCCGTGCGTTTTCCAACGCGCGGGCCTCGCAGGGGTGGTGCGAAGCACTCTTTCGCCTAATTCCCGCACTCGCGGCTCTCATTGCAGTGAGCTTGAGATGGTGAACGAGACAGAGGCAGCTTGAACTGGCTTGAGCAGCCTGCCCCAGGTCAGCAAGGACTTCTTGTCCGTGGTGTGCGAGCGAGCCGACGAGGCCGTCGGGTTCTTCCTGGCCATACCTTGATTCTGAACATACAGCGGCTGTTCTTACACCAATCGGGTCGTTGCCCTTGGGGTGGCTCGCGTCAGGTTGCAAACCATTGCACACCTTTCCTCTCCCAGCGCTCTCCCAAAGAGGTCTACTTCGGTCCTGGTGACGACATCTTTCGGCGCGGCGAGGCGGAGTCCCGCGTCGGACATGGGATTGGAAGACAGGGTCCCCCTTTGCCCCCCTTCCCCCCGCGCCCCCCCATGCGCAGGTGTGCAAGCTTGGCGAAGCCATCATGCAACTCGGCGGCCGCTCTTTCCTTTGCTCACTCAACTCACAGCTCACAAACTCGGCTGCCAGCAGACCGGCAAAGCCAACCGTACGGCTCCCTCAACATGCAAACACTGTTTACCCGGCCCCCCGGCCCACCAAGCAAGAAGAGCTCTCATCTTCCGAGGTACATCTTGCTGCAGGGCGCGGCCATCGTCGAAGGTCGTCAGTCCTCTAAGTGAATGTCCAGGGTGCTAAGAGCGCTGTTTCACTGCCCCGCATTGGCCGAGAACCTTGTCCCTGAAAGGAGAGTACGGCGATGAACTCGGCAGGCGGCATGGGCTGCACACATGGACCGTTTTGTACACAGGGCTGTACAAAAAGCCGCCTACAGGATTTCATTGTTTCATAAAAGGCCTCTTATACGGCCCATACCGTAGATGCCGCAGCCATCCATAGCCTGAATTGACACCGAAGCCCTAAGCGTTGCAAGGCTAAACCCTGGAGACGTGGTGGGCGAGGGTGGTGCGCTGGGCATCGCACCGATCCGCGGTGCGACGGTGCGTGTGCCCTTGGCATAAACTTGGCATAAACCTTACGGGCTTGAGGGCGCGACTTGGAACGAGAGATGGAGTGAAAAGGCCCAGATGTCAGCCCAACTCTCAAGTTGCTCAAGGATCTGACCCTCCCTGCTGTGGCATGATAGGCATCCTCTTGGAATCTTAAAAACTTGGAAAAAGTCATATCCCTTTGCGTCGTTCCCTAAGCCTCAAAGAGTGTCTACTTGGTTGCATTTGAGACTCTAAGGCTTGGCGCGACACTCTGGTCCGTGCTGTGCGCTTGCATGGGAGTTCCATCCAGAGGCGTGCCTTTTCTTGGACCCATGTCGAGTGGTCCTCGAAGCTCTACTCGAAAAATCAAGTACCGACTCCTGCCCAGGGCCATCACCGCCTTCCCCGACGAGTATGAATCCCTTCAGGCCATCTTCCAGAAGTGCCTCCTCCGCGGAAGTTCGGAGCGAAAGCCGAAGAGAGATCTTGAGCCCGTGACACCTCCGCTCGTAGCAGTTCAAAGTTCAAAGGTTATCCGATCGACTTCACACCTTTTGTTGTCTCTGGCGTTGGAGTCTGCAATCGGGCACGGAGGGAGAGTGCGCAGGGATGCAGCCGAGGCGGGCGTCCGCGAACAAGGAAGTGGAGCGCGTGAGGCCGGCAACGCCAAGCCACGCCAAGCAACGCCAAAGCAACTCACGTTGGAGCTCAGCACCTTGGGGTTCCAAGGAATATGTCGGTGCTTCTCAAAATCAGGGGACCCCCGGGCCTGCCCGCCTCCCCACCCCCCCCCCCCAACAAAAATCAAAATAAGGGTGCCCCTGCTTGGGAGAGGCCCCCTAAAGGAGATGAGAACTCTTTTTCGCGTGCTCCGGAAGGCAGAAGTGGTTGCAAGAGCAAGTCATCCCAGCGCTGAATAAGTGTTCCGCGCTCAGATCCCTCTTTTCACTCACTCTCGGATTCTGTGTCGAGAGTTCCTGAAGCCGAAGCTGGAGAGTGCCTGAGCTATGCGGCTTCGTGCTTTGACGAGTTTCCCGGTAAGCAAAAGTCTGTTTAGGAGCTTCTTTCCTCAGAGGCCGCGATGTGAAAGGCCTCGCGAGAAGCGGAGCTGGCAAAAAGGGTACATCATATGATATGTGGTAAAGAGGGAGTAAGAGAGGAAGTATGTAAGGTCGCATTTTCAACGGCTTCCCGGAGCACATCATTCGGAAGATCGCCGAACACCTGCTCCAGGCGACCTACTCAAGTGCCTTGCCCCGGAATAGCTCTTGCAATACCTCGCCTTTCTAAATCTGCCAGGGAGTTGTCGGCATAGGGACTTGCAGCATGGCTCAACAGTGAGAGCATACGGAAAAGTTTCTGCTCCATGTTGCGCTCTCATGACCCTTGCCTTCGGCTCCCGCAAGCAGACTGCTAGCAGCTTAGGTGGCCAAATCGTGTGCGTGGCGGGCAATGGGGCAGATTCCATGAAGCTTTGCTCGCCGTGAAAGTTGGAGAGGGTGTTCTTGCAGTTCTTGCAGTAACGACTTGGTGCAACTGAAAGATTCGGATCTCTACTGTGCGGTTACCCAACTTGCTCCAACAAGGTTGAGCAGCTTTCTGTATCTGTGTCTTGGTTCAAGGTGGTCCCTGATTAGTGTTTTCCGCGAAGCAAGGATCATCTTCCTGAAAGGCGAGGGCGAGGTTCACACGAAATCAGGACAGGCCATGCTGCTCCGCAGTGGCCGCTATGTGCAAGCATGATCAAGCATGCATGGGTCCATATGAAGGCAGCAATGACCCATCCAGGAGATCTCATCGGCACCATCACACCTGGCGCGATGATCGGAGAGGTCTCGGTGCTTGGGCTCTTCCCGTGGCGAACTGCCACGATACGCAGCTTGGCTCCAGTATCTCCAGCAAATCCCCCCAGCACGAGATGTCAGCACGACCGATGCCACAACATGTCACACTTAACTTCTTTCGTGGAGGTTTGAGGAGTGGATCTAGCACCTAACTTCTGATTCCGTTGATCGATGCCGAGGAGCTACGACCAACGCTGATGCAGCGTCTCGGCTTCACAAGGGCAGAATCTGCCCGTCTGTGGCTGTACCGCGTCCAAGGCTTGTGCATGCTTGTGCTTTACATATACATGGGTCATAAACGAGGCTGTCAGCGGACGCAACCTGCATGCCTTCCTAGACGGTCCTTTCTCTGCTTCGAAGGTGTTTTCTTCGACTGTGCTCCTTTGTGCTTCTTCCGTCCTTCTTGTCTTGTGTGTCCGATCTCTTTATCTCGCTCGCCTGGCTTAGTCTTAAGGGCTGCAGGCAATGTGAGAAAAGGCAAAAGCACAGCCTTTAGAAGGACATGCGCACGAACCTCGGTACCTTCAATAACAGTTCCGGGTACTTTCAACTGCCATGAAATTGTCTGGTTCAACAACAAGTGCGTGCCTGAGTCCCGGCAGGACAGTACTTCCGTCTAATCTGGCCCCCTTGTCCCAGAGTCGTTGAAACCGTTGATGCGATGAGAGAACCCTTGCAAGGCCTCTTGGTTGCGCCCCATGTTATCTCAGGTGTTGATCACCGCCAACCTGATCACAAGGATCTTGCAGGACCCAGATGCCTCAACTGCTAGTGCGGAAAGCGGTGAAGGAGCAGACACTGAAGAGAGACCGGGGAAAACGAACGGAGAGCCAAACAAAGATTATGCCTTTCGCCTTACACTTCCCTTTCTGTTGGCCGTCGGGATTTCAGAGAAGCCCTTCGCCCCAAACTCTCTATAAGGCCCCCCGCCCCCCCCAGGACGAAGCCCCCAAAAAAAAGCCCCAAAAAAGCCGCAGGGGGAGGATGCGAGCGAGGCCCGAGCGCGCTTCGAGGCGCGTGGAGGGCTCTTTCGAGGCTGAGGACGGCAGGTCTCAGTGGTCTCGGTCCCAGAATTTCCATATAAGATTTTTCAATCAAGACGGAAAAAGGAGAAGTAGTCGTGGTCCTAGCATTGCAGCAGTAGGCGAATATTGTCCCTGCAGGCGTTGCGGCAGGAGAGGTGCGACCAAGTGGCACCTCGACGGGGGGGTCAAGAATCAGCTGTGTTTCTTTGCAGTGGGACTAGAAAAGGTGGCTCCAGACCTTCCAGGGAAACAGGTCAGCTTCCCTGGGCAGTTAAGATCAGAGCATTGGGACGGTGTGAACCGGAGTTGCACCATTGGACCGAGGAACAAGGTATGCCGCTGCCGCTTGGACAAGCATGTACACCGCAAGGGGCGCCATCTACATATTGCAAACGTGTATTTCCTGTCCCATGTTGGCAGCGCCTTGGCAAGGTGCACCTTGCCACTCGATGTCAGTGCACCGTGGCAGCGTTGGGACATTCTTTGTCTGCGCAAGTTCATATAAAGTTCATACATCTTGCGCTGCTGCTGGTCGTGCTGGGGAGTCGGTGGTTTTGTCTTATCCTCTTTTTGAAAATTTCCCAATGGCGAGTGCCCAGCGCCACGCAGTTTCAAGTTGCATAGCCGAGTATGTCACATCCAAGAAAGCGCGACAAAACATGACACGTGAAGAGATGCAAGGCCCCTGTACTCCGGGCACCAAGTCGTCTCGCTTTGTGGCATCTTGTTTCAGGGCATACTGTAGCACTGTAGCAGATGCCGCATGGGTCCTTTGAGGTCAAAGACGTGGCGGCGCGTGCCGTGGATTTAGGATAGTGTCCACATGTTCACAATAGACATCTGCCTTTTGATTCGCAAGTGTGTCCGCTGTCAGTGAAGTCAATGCTCCCGCCGGCTAGCTCTAATCGCAGGTGCCGTAGCCCTGCATGCAATCCGGTTCGACTTCGCAACGGGCGATGTCTTCAAGCCAAACTCCAAGTCGTCGAAGCCTCAGTCGACTCCTGGGACTCCGCAGTCTGAAACTGAAAGAATCACCGAGGCAGGGACCCCACTACTGGATCTTAGTTCAAGGCTTGCCTGCAAGAGTCGAGGGGGCTCTGTTGCCAACGGTCATGTTGCCAGGGACTATGAACCTGATGATGGGGAGCCGCCACATCATGCCCCTTGACCTTACACGTCCTTCAGCACCTTCTGCTGAGATAGCTCGTGTTTTGTGAGCGGCGTGGGCAAACAAATGCAGAGTGGAAGCATTCTACATATTCGTCTACAGAATTCCACAATTGAGAGTGTTCGCCCCCTTGATGCGTGCGCCACAACGCCACACCACGGTCGCTCCCCAGGCTCTTCAGCGCGGGCCCGGTGAACCCGCTGATCCCGGAGCATGTCGCACAGGACACCGGGTACTTGTCAAGTAGATATGCGTGATACGCGCACTGTTTTTATCACAGGTGACAGCAACGAAGCTTGCAGGACTACGGTGCAACCTTGCATGCTGCCACCCCATGCGAGGCGGGGAATATGGGAAACAAAACTGCAGCAACTGCCAACGCAGCTGCCAGTTTGGATCGAAAACGGTGTAATAGTAATCGCTTTCGCAATTTGGCATGCCCGGTGGCTTTTATGTCGTGACATATGAGCTGATGTGGTGACGTTGTGAAGGCCTACCGGGTGAGTCTCTATGACATCCTCCTGGCGACGCACTGTGTGAGAGCGCGGCTGGGCTCGCCTTATCGTCCTAAGGGCATCACCGCATTGTCACCGCTCTGATATAGCCGTTCTAGCCACGACGTCACTTCGTATAGCCACTTTGACTCTAACCACTCGAAGGGCTCCGTGCGAAGACGTGGGAAGCATTTGACAAGAAATTGGAGATGCTTTCTTTTGTCCCTGCTTCCCTGAGGAAGTGGTACAAGCACTTTGAGAAGTTGCTCGAGGAGACTCAGGCTGGGCTTGGCCCTGTTACAAAATACCGCACGCCTCCATGCGGGGGGGGGGGGGGGGGGGGGGGGGGCGCTTTTGTCCGGACAGGTGAAGGTTCGACTGAAGCTGCAGGGAGCCCGCTCCATTCAGACCATGAAGCTCAAAAAGTGCCGCCCGGGGCCCCGACGAGAGGGAGCGAGAGGGAGCGAGAGGGTGCGAGAAAGAGACAGCCTGACTCTTGTGGACTGCAGGCACGGAGAGCACCCTGAACTCGCGAGTCGCCACCAAAGACGAGGAAGGCCGACAGGATTCGGAAGCTCCCTACACATCGCAGCCACAGCAGTCCCCCAACAAGCTCCCAAAGAGCGACGAAGAGAGCACCGGCAGCTCTTGACATCTCCCTCCAGATGCACTACATTATTAGCCTGTATTAGCCTGTTTTGGAATTGTCGTTTAGGGGGCTTGCTCAGCTGATCATTCTCTCTTGACAGGCGACAAGCAGAAGCAAATGGGCCTGGAATTTGTGGCGCAGGCGCGGTGATGACCGTGACAGCTCGATCCTGGAAACCAGATCCCGTGAGATCCCATGAGAGCCCCGCTTTTCAAAGCCCTCTCTCTCCAGACCCTTCAAAGGCGCTTTAAATCCAAACGCTTCGAAGCCCTGTCAGGTGATCCCCTTCAAGAAGACCCGGGCGCGACTTGTGGGCGACCGGCTGCTGAAGCTGCGAGAGGCCACCTCCACCAATCCTAGGAAAAGATGGAAATTCGGAAGGTTGTGGTGAAGCATCTGCCTAGCGGCCCAGCTCAGATGTGGGAAAAGCTGTCAGATTCAGTTCGGAGGGCAGCTTTGTGGTTCCTCGCTTCAGGAGCCTGGTTTGTACGCCTACAAAGCTTCCGGCGGAAGCACGCACCTCAGTACCTGCAAACGCCCCTACGATAAGGAGGGACCAGGGGGGGGGGGGGGGGGGGGTAAATAATGTGAGTCATGTAAAGCTCGGTCGGCAAAGCTGCATCTTCAGCAGCGTTGCGGCATTGCAAGGTAAAGGCAAGGATAAAGGCTTCGGCCGCGTTGTCTGATGGTGACTTTTTCGTTATGAAGTCGTGATGAACTTTCCACATCTGCTTCAAGCGCTCGCGCATGTGCTAGAGCACGAAAAGCCCAAGGAGCCTGCAAGGTCCCCGCGAAAGCATCGGTCATTGTCTTAGATTGTCTTGCCCTCCCGACGTTCTCAGGCGAGTCTACGCCCAAGTTGCCTCTGATCATGCAACTTGGATGGACCTGGACCCGGCGATTTGTTAAGGTTGTTTCCCTTTTGACCCTGAAATTAGAAGGACCCATTCGTACTTGAGACGCGTTGGGGCTCGTCAGCCCATTGCTGGCGCTTAGGAGCAAGGCGAAGACGGACCAATGACATCGCTCCCCCCAGCTGTCCAACGTTAGTATACTCTCGAGGCTCTAGCGCTTTAGTCAGGCTCTGTAGGAGCATGCAGCTACCTGCTACCTTCCCCGGTTCATGCTGATTGTCTTAACTGCGGTCTATAGTGAGACGCCCGAAAGCGCTCGAGCATCGACAGCAAGTCGCGCGGATACCCGTGCGCAGCAGTTATTTCCCGTGCAAAGCACGGTAGGTATGATCAATTCCATCACGTCAAAGGTTTGGCTGCTTCACTACAATGTAAGAAAATTTTCCTCCGTACCTCCAGCCATAAAAATGCACTGGTGGGTGCCAATGGGTGCTTGCCTGGCAAATGCTCCTCAAGGGCCTCAAGGGTGTTTGCTGAACACTCGCATTCCCAAACCTTCGGCGTTGCTGCGACAGGCCAAGCCCGTTCGCAGTCTGCTCTCGAATTGGTACACATCTGCAAGATTTCAATCGCGCAGGCGATGTTCCAAAGAAAATCCATTTCATGTGGTTGTTGACATCAAGATCGCCGTGGTAGCTCCATCTGCAGCGCTTGCCATCCTGCAATGCGAGCGGCTTTAGCTGAGGCTCGATTTACTCTTGGCTCACGGCGATGCAGAACCTTTTGCAAAACCAACCACCTTAAAACTTAAGACTGCGAGCATTCGACATTGCTCCGCCATCTCAATGCTCGGCTTGTTGACTTTAGCAATCCTAAAACCCTCTAAAGAGAAGCCGCAGCTTCACCGCATCGCACGATGGACCAAAAAGGCAAAAGCCCCCAAAAAGGTGCCAGAGGCCGCGCACAGACACTCCGCCCCATTCCCTTGCCCCCCAATTCCCTCTGCCACATTTTCCGACTCCCATCCTCTCTGTAAATGCGCGAACGTGGGGATGGCATCTCCGAAGGCTGCGCCGTCGGAGACTCAGAGATAGTGTTTTAGGGGGTTTCGGCGACCTGCGCGACCTCGAGTGCGCCCAGCAAGCTATGTAACAGGGCTCATATTAGCATGGCAGCCGCAAGCACAGAGATTGGCTTTCTTGGCCTGTCGCTTGCACAACTGCAAGGATCAGAGCCCCACGCACAGACAGCCCAAGCAGACGCCCTGAAAGCAAACCCCCCTCCCCCACAAACTCTCAAGCAGCAAAACCAAACCAATGCCAAATCCAAAAAAAGAAGCCCTCAAAAAAGCGCCTGAGGTCCAAGCCCTCGGAGGGGCGGCCAGGGCCTGCGCCGGCCAGGGCCTTAAGGGCCCTAACGGCCCTCAGGGGTTGGGCTGTGTGTGTCCCCTATTCCCCACAACAGATGCAAGCACTTGTTGAGGGTGTGAGGGTGTTGAGGAGTTGGGGCACGGTTTTGAGGGTTGAGGGTTGGATGATTACATGAGTCTATGTGCGCAACGCGGCCACGAATGAGGCTCCTGCCGCGCCGGGTGCGACTGCCGAGGACCGTACTGCTGGAGAGGGGGGTTATGCGTTCAAAGGTCTTTCCACATGTGTGGGCCCCATTTCCGCTTGGTTTCTTGTTGATTTGGAGCGTTTGTCAGTCCAACTTTCGCTTCAACTTGCGCCAGGCAGGTTCCCTCAACGAGAGGCCTCCCGACGGGCTTTCTGTCTCGGCTTGTCCACAGAATTTCAGAGCTGCTCTAAGCATGACAGAAATGGCAGACATGACAGAAATGACGGGAAACGCCAGCCTGGGCTCCGTGATCAGTTCGCATTCGACACATGTGTCGTTGGCCACGGGAATCCCCCAATGCCCGTGAAGAGATCGCGGGCGCCTCGCAGTTTGGATCAGCTGTACGGCTGGATAAGCCGCAGCCCGGAGCTCAGCACCGGTTATGGGAGTTCTGGGCCTCACCACCTCCGGGGCTTCGGGTGCATTTCATGAAGACATGTCCATGTCCCTGGCATGTTCTTCAAGCTAGGTGCCGAAGGCCTTGGTCTGGATGGCTTTGCGGGTCGGTCCGAGCCGCAAAGGCATTGGGCCGAGGGGTTCTGTTGCATTGTTGTTGCAGGTTGTTGCTCTTTTTCTTCTTGGTAAGTCGCCAGTTCTGGCCTCCTTCTTAGGGCAGCTGCAGCAAGCAACGGCGGGCCGGCGTCTGAGATCTGTCTTCAGCCCCTCGACGCTCCTTGGTGGATTTGGGGATGATTCCAGGAGTTCCAGAAGTTTCATTGGGACGTGGCCACGGGTTCTCTCCTGTGTGGGCAGTGAGGTAGTGGGATATGGAAACAGAAAGACAGAAAGGTAGCAAGAAATGATTGTAGGGGAAGAGCGGCCTGGAAGGGACTCAGGGTGACGGTCACATAGAAGATATTGGGGGTCAGGGTTAGAAGGAAAAGAGAAGATAAGTAGGTTAAGTCTTTGCAAAGCAACGGGCTGGACCAAGTGGTCCTCAACCTTTGGCTTGGGTCAAGTCTAGGCAGTCATGCTGTGGAGTCTTATAGACTTATAGACCAAGACATGAGCACAAAAAGGTTCAGAGGGTTACGGGTGAATTGGAACAGGTTAAATGGTTGGAAGGGATTCGGCTGAAGGGAGCAGAAGAATTGCATGAAAGATTTCGGATGGAGTTAAAGCAGAGGATGCTGGGTTAGATGGTTAGAAGGATGAAGACAGGATTGCTAAGAGAAAAAGATAGGGATGACTTCAAGAGAAGGCTCTTGGGATCTTGGATGCGACCGTTTGCTCAGCGGGTTTGGCTGAGAGAGAAGATTTGTTGCCCCACCGGCCCTGTCCTGTGAACGCAGAGCCCTGGCTGCAAGAAGGCGCTCATGGAATCATGGAAATCATGTGACCGGGGACATTTCGCTTGCGGTGTCTGAGTGTGGCTGAGGAATCACACGGGGCCCTCGCAGCCATGTCTTTGAAGGCCAGCTCTCCCGAAACCCGTCCTGAGTGAACACCCCCCTTTGCAGTTCTCTGGCCCTGTCAGTCAAAGAGCACGAAGATGCCACCGGTGGCAGAAGGGGGCGAGAGCCAGCCCAAGCCAGTGAAGAAGAAGGCATGGGCCGCGCGAGAATGCGCGAGAGCTTATTGCCACAGATGCCCCTTCTCTTCACTTTTTTGTTGCAGGTGAAGTCCAAGGCGAAGTCCGTCAACTGGGGCTTCTACATCATGAAGGTGCTTCGCCAGGTGCGCACGGCGGGTGCTGGGGAAACCTGCTCCTTTTGCCCGTAAAGGGGGAACAAAGCGGCGAGCAGGTCCATCCGACGCTGCGAATTTCCAAGCAGGCCGGTCGCATGAGCTCAGCCTCCAGTGGCCGAACCCTGCGCTCCCCCAGCTTCCTCGATGTAGGCAATGACAGTGATGGTGTCATGCGTCGAAGATACCTTTGAGCGCATCTCCAACGAGGCGAAGCCGAAGTGAAGCACATGACAATTCGATTAAAGCATCTGATGGAAGCATGGAAGAGCTGCCATTCGCGAATGCCCAGATTCTAGGCTGCTGCCCAGCCCCTGGGCAGGCGAACCTTATCTGTCGGCGGAGTGGTACACACTCCATCAACACTCGCCACCTGGCCCACAGACCGTATCGCAGCTGTCTGTGGCACCTTTGTAAATCATGGCACCTTGGTGATTTGCGTGGACCGCTCGAGATAGCCAGGTCGCATGAGTAACTAAACCTCAAACATTCGCACCTAGAAATCAGAATCGCCGCATGCTTAGAAGCTGCGTGCTGGGAAGGCGACATCCAGTCGGCCGTGCGCCTCGTGTTCCCCGGCGAGCTCTCCCGACATGCCGTCTCTGAGGGCTGCAAGGAACCGAGAACCACAAGTGGACCCAAAGGCGGAGTTCGAATTCCACTCCCGAAGTTCACCCAAATCCGGAGGCAGTGATCAACTTCAAGAACAGCGACGGAGCTCGCATGCCCGACCAAGCCGTTGCAGCCGAGGAGGAGGCTGAAGATGATGCCGAGGTGGGGCGAACGTGTAGGGCACGAGGGCGTAATCTGACTTACGAGACTTCGAGTTAATAAAGGGGCTTCTCCTTCGGTCCTTCTTCTTGCATATGTCCCGTCTCTGCTTCGAGGAGGGCGAGGACGAGTGATGTCGACAGCAGGGGGTTCCCTGAGCACGCATCCAGCATCGTGTGCCTCCATAGAGCCGAAGAGCCGATCAGCCGATCGCTCTCCTGGGCAGATTAGCTACAGAGCTGCAGTGGTGCTAAATATCAGTATCCTCCTCAGGTCGAGATCAATATCACCTAATCACCTACATGTCTGCAGCATCTGCTAGGTTCGCTACCGCTGCAAGGGTCGTAAATGGTGAGGCTCCGAATCGAGGCTCAACACAGCTGGACCTCTTTGTGTCTCCATGCAAACACTGCGTCCCACATGCCAAGATTCCCAAGGCAGCACACCAGCGCGCTGCACGCAGTAAGTCGCTCGAAGTACTTCACGGCAGTTGGAAAGTGTTTGACCGAGCGCTGGCTCATTCCGTGTCACATGCTCGTTGTGGATTTTAGTTCGGGAGCACTCGACCACCACACTTCTCGATAGACTTCAAAGCATGCAAAGCTCCAGCTGCAGAAACTGGTCGCCTGATGTGCTTCTTGCAATTGTACGGCAACATAACGGCACATGTACCGATTCTTGCAGCCCAATGACATCTAACTCAGCGCTTGAGCTCCTCGGACGTGCTCCTGTCTTTCCGCCTTGCCGAAGTGCACAGTTTGCAAGGCGAACTTTGTTAGGAGTCGCCTCAAGCAGGTCAACAGCTCAGGAAAAGACTCACCGAGAAGGACGCGTAGGATCCTTAGTGGAATGGCCCTCCTGCTAGTGATTGTAGGAGATGTCTGGGGTCCTTCAGAGATGTACAGCAAAGAAAAGCGTAAGTCTTAGCCTGAGTGGCAGCGGTGAGAGCTCTCTGAGCTCTCACCCATGCTTCGCCCTGCCTTCCTGATGAGAATCAAGATCAAGTCGGATTGGGGGTCTTCAACTGCGACCTTGAAATCAGAAGGAGGAGCAGGAAGAAAAGAGATCGTTGAGGCTGCACTGCCGACTCGGGCCTGGAACACTGCATCACCCTGCCCCTTTCTGCTGAGGTCCACTCCCACTCCGGCAGCTGGAGGCATGAAGCAAGAGACATGCAAGACTCCTCCCGGACCGGAGTGCCTCGTTCGGTCCACATGTTCCACATGTTCTCCCAGCTTTGTTCTGTCAGTTCTCTCAGCTCATTTCCAGGTGTCTCCAGTTTTCGGTCGATGTCGCACAGCTTCAGCGACTTCCTCTCCAGCCTCGCTCCGGGAGGCGCCAGCGAAGAAGATGGAAAAGCGCAAGTCAAGCTACTCAAGCTCCTCCAAAAACTACTGGGAAACTGGCTTTCGCCCTCAAAGCCCTACGAACTGTTACGTAACCCTTGTTCACGGGCTAGTACTAGTTCACCCTTACCATCGTGTCCTCGTTCCCACCTGTCAGTCTTGCCCATGAATCCGCCCTTGAGACAGTATCAACCTTATGAACGTACCATCTTGACAAGGAACCCGCCCTCGGGACCCCAACCGCCTGTCTAACCTTCCGGAATCTCCACTGCGATTGAACGTAGTGTATTAGCGCACGAAATTAATCTCTTCACTGTGTGCATTGTTACTACTGTGAGCCCCGCGAGCACATAATTCTATTGTTTTCTTATTCCTTGCATGCTGGATTGATGCTGCCCAAGCCAAGTAAGAGGGCTGGGAAAGGTTCAGCCACCTGCGGGGACTATCCTGACTATCCTGCCAGGTGACTGCACCAATGTCCTGGAAAGCAGGCCGCCCCCCCTTATTATGGCCGCTGTTTGTGTCTCTGTCCTTGTGCGTGTGTGCGCGTGGGTATGCGTGGGTGCATGGGCGTGTGTGCGTGGGCGTGCGCGTGGGCGTGTGTGCGTGTGGGCCTGTGTGCGTATGTGGGTGTGCGTATGTGGGTGTGTGTGTGTGTGTGTCAGAAAACTAGTCCGTTAAGCCTCTAGAAGCACCACAGGTTTTCGCACGCGTGGAGCTCTTGGCCTTGTGCCCTCGCTCGCTTCGTGTTTGTTCCGCCGGGACTACATCGCAAAACCGGCCAGAGTTTGGAGGAGCATGGCTGCCCAAGCGGAGCGCTGAGGAAGCGTTGAGGAAGCTGTGGAGATTGAGGAGCGGTGCGCCGATGGCTGCCCCGACCCTGACGCCACGCATCGAGCTTTGCCAAAGCGCGAGTCGCCTGCGATTGCGCCGCTTGAGCAGCCTGCGCTGCCAGCACTCACAGCTGAATCGCAGACCTTGGCGTGGACGGGAGAATGGGGCCCCCAAATGCGGGACTCAGCACTCAGCTACTTGGTCAGTGCTGACATGTGCTGATTATCTGAGGCTTCGACTCGGGGGTTTCTTTCGCCTTCTCAACATAGAAGTCGTCTCCTCCTGGTGGCGGCACCCCCTTGCTATAAAAAGCAGCTAAGCCTTAGCTATTAAATTGCCAAGGATTGCACATCTCCACCATTGCACGAATGCCCGCAAGTGGAAACACAGGTGCAGCCCCGAGCGGCGGCGTGGCTCCGAACGCCGCAATGGGACGCCGAGGGCTCGGGGGCAGAGCGCTAAGACGTGCAACCTTTTAGGGGATTCGCAGCGTAGGGTTTATGTGCGCACACGTGCAAAGAAGTTTCCATTGAGTTGTGTGCTCAGGGGATTTTCTGCCGGGGAAGGGGGGGCGGGGTGGGTCGGTGGGGCTGTTTCAGTCTTCTTCGGGTCGCTTCGTCGCCCTACAGTCCGCTCACTTTCCCCATTGCGGCAGTGGCAGGTCCTACGACCGAGCAGGATCAGGACCAGCAGGACCAGCAGGAGCACCCGGATGAGCTGGCCAGGGCAAGAGATTGAACGGACATGTCTTCATTCGCACTTACATCAACAGGAGACCTCCGAGCAAGTTATTTTAAACATGCGAAACTTCCAGTCCTCATTCAGCCTCGGCTGCAGATGGGAAGGTTTTTCAGCCTCGCGTCTGCTTGGCTAGGACAGGGTCCAGACGTGGGTCCGGCTCACGAGGCCTGGCACCACCCGAGCCTGGCGAATCGAAAAAGCCCGTTCGCGCTGTCTCTGCAAACTTCGAGGATGTCAGCGTCGTCCTTTACCCAGAGGAACTGAGCATGGGCCAGGCAGGTGGCTCGGTGCCACGTTCTCTGCACCTAAGAATTCTTGGATCTCAGGCGGCCCTCTCCGGGGCCCCGCAGGCGCCGGCGAAGGCCGCGAAGTCGGCGTCGCCGGCATCGGGGCGAGGGGACCGGCCCGATCGGCTCTCCGACCGGCCCTCGGACAGGCCTCGGGCTCAGCGTGATGTCACAATGTGTCGGCAACATGCGAACAACATGCGAACTTGACTCCTGCAACCACAAGTGTGAGCCTTCACGCCCACACAAGGCCACGTGTATTCTAAGTGCATTCACTATAGGGCACTCCATTAGCACCTGATTCAGCGGGATCCCCGCTTCACGGGGTGCATTGAAGTGTTGCAGGATGGCCTACCCGTGGCCTGATGACGCACCACTGCGGAACCTTGGTAGAAGATGTGATGCGCTTTGGGATTTGGAGTATGTTGGAGTCGTTGTTCGGTCGTTAGGGAGAAGTGTTAAAAATGTGTTTCTTTGTCCGCACTGTTCTCTGTGGCTTTGTGCGCTGTTGTGATTCTTAGTTGCGCGGCGGCTGTTTTGGATTGTTTCTGTTTGTGTTGCTGCCGGATTTGAGACGGGTTTGGACTCTGCCTTCCCAGCAGCTCAGCGTGTGGAGATACGTGGGGGCCTCTCTCTGAACTCTGAACTGTGTCGATTAAGGCTTTTGCGTTTGCAGCGCTTTCTAAACGGCTTCCTGTAGGGGCTTGCGCAGTCTGGGTTGCGCGTCGAGTGCAAGTTGGCAAACGCATGCTGTTCGTCGCGACGGGACTAACAGAGTTGAGTTCTGTTGAATTCTTCTCATAAGGCTCTGGGTACGCAAACCCTAAAAGCCATAAAGGCTGGCAATTCCTCGTCTGCTAAAAGGAGCCAAGGTTGCGCCTCTGCGTTTGCGCCATTCGAAGTCAGAAGGTCCACAGGCTAGCCTGCTCTTCATGTAGACATGTGCCCTAAGGCCTAGATGAAAGCTTTACTTGAGGCGGAGGCTGCAAAATGAAACGCTAGAGCCAACAGACGGAGCACCCGACCCCAAACTTCCCACACCCCAAACAAGCCTTCATCCCTCCGAACCGTGGAAGGAAAGAGGCGGAAGCGGGGGGGGGGGGGGGGGGGCGTGACTCTTCAGGCCTGCCTCAAGCAGTCCGAAGCATCAGCCTGAGGAGACCAGGCCGGCGCGGGGCTGCAATAATTTCAGGGCTGAAGCCACGAAGCCAGCCAACGGAGCTCTTGAAAAGAAGGTTTAAGACCTCGGCGTAGACGCGGAATGGGGCACAGGAGTTTTGGGTCATCTGATCGTCCTTGCTTTCTTCTGCCATGCTACTCTCTGTTTGCCTCCTGCCGAGCTCTCGGTGGCTGCATCGAATCTGTACTGGCAGGCAGACTCCGACCAGCCTGTCTCCGAAACATGCAAGGCTAGGGACTTCAATTCAGAAGCTTCAAGCCTTTTTGCGTGTGCTTCTCTAAGCTCCACTGCCTATGGCAGCTAATCAACCTCCAGTCATAGTAAGCCTTCCTCCATTATGCGACGCGCGGATCGCTCATCAGCTCATCAGCTTCCGAATGGCCCGAAGCCGGGGCTGCCCTTCGTTGCCCTTGCTGTTTTTGGCTGCCCTTCGCAGGCTCACAAGCTCCGGCAACCTGAGGAGAGACGGGACATCCTGGTTTGAACTGATTTGCCCTACTGTTTTGCCTTCGAAAAGGGCGCTTCAACAGAGGGCAAGAAGCGATCGAAAAGCTGTCAGGAAATGGCCAGGAATGAAGAAAGTCCGGGCTCCTTAAGACAAGAGCGGCGCAGGAAGTCGGCGGCCTACGACACCGACCCGGAGGAGCGCCGAGAACCTCTGCCGTTTCAGGCTCACGGCAGGCAAAACGAGAGTTTCCCCCACGCAAAGACTGGGCTTTTTCCCACAACTCTCTCTCTGAAGGCTGGAGCCGCTGAGAGCTGAAAATCTCTCTCGCTCTCTCTCTGTGTCTGTCTCTCTCTCTGTCTCTGTCTCTGTCTCTGTCTCTGTCTCTCCATTCGCTAGTGTGGGGGAGGACTTGCTGGATCAGCACGTGGCGTACTATCTGCGGCATCACAAGGACGTGGCTGCCCAGCATTCTGTGAATCGCAGCTCGGCCAAAAAGGAGGGAAAAGACTTCAATGCCCGCAGGGGGAGGAGGCTGTCAAAAATCTTTCAACTCTCTCTCTTTCTCTCGCGCGCGTGTGTGTGTGTGTGTGTGTGTGTGTGTGTGTGTGCGCTCGCTTATGTATTCAAGTTTGTGTGCGTTTCGTCTTGAACCTCAGGTCTTTGCCCGGGTGTGTATGCCATCGATGATCGCGAAGTGCGCGCCGTGTGCTCGGGCAGCGATCACTGCTCTGTGCTCTCATGGACAGAACTGCTGTCGTTGCGACTTTGGTTGGGTGCTGCCAAGCAGCTACAGCTGTTGCCAGTATCACAGCCACAGCATCTCACAGCCCCATCTGCCCCAGAGATTTCAAGGTCGAGTGGCAGCACGCGACGGAGCCAGGCGGGCAGGGCTTCCTGGCACGAGCCTTGGAAGCTTGCACAGTGCGGCCACAGCTCATAGAGCATCCTTCAAAATAGTGGCGCCGGAGCAGATGCTGTTTTTTTCAGTCTTGTTGTCGACTCACAGTAGCATGTCCTGCATTGATTCGGCAAGGTCGCCATGGATGGGCCCTTGCGGCAGCCCTTCGTGGGGACACTCAGAGCACTGACTGGGGGCTGGAGTCATTGTGCCCCAACCTTCGCCCCACCTGATTCCACTCGACTCCTCTCCCCGAAAACGTCACAGGATTTTCTCAAGAGCAGGGCAACAAGAAGTTGCCATCGAGACCTACCTGCAGCCTGCTGGTTTCGTTGGCCGGCGAGCTTCTCTGGAGAAAGTCTTCGAGCCCAACGTTCGGCAAGGCCCTTTCTCGATTGTCGATTTCGGTCCATCTGATCCGCTGGGCCTGATGCTTGCTCGTGCACTGCTGGCCGTCGTCACCGTCGTCGTTGTATTTGTTAGGGCCCGAGATCCCTCTTTCGGAAGGACCCCCCCATCAGGCAGCTTGTCGCTTCAAGGTCCAGCGACGTCCCTTGAGCCAGCGCGTGTCGCCGATGCCAGTCAATGCGATGTGTCTCGAAGTCGTTGAGAAAGTTGAGAAACATACATGCGCAGCAGGCAGATGCAGTGTATGGCATGCCCGTTCTGCTGCGAAGACCTGGCGGAGTGCAGAGATGTGAGGAGACGAAAGGCATTGAACCTGTAAGACCATCTTCTATAATCATGGCCTCGTCAAGACGCCTGGTTGTTCAGAGGCCTCGGCTGTGTGAAGCCTTCAGGCTTTATATGAAAGTACTGCAAGAAACGAGGCTGATTACATGGAGCACTCGGAGAACAATGCCGAGTATGACGTGCAAGGCGGTGGGCTCCTGGGTTCCTTGGATCGTGGCACTTTGGCTGCAGCGTGCCGAGTCCTCATGCAGACTTATACATCTTGCCCATCTATCTGGCTTGGAGTAGGAGGTTTAGGAGGTGTCAGACATGAGACAAGAGGCAAACAAAGCACAAGTATGTTGACAGGCGCAGCATGTAGCACAGTTCCATGCCCCGACCGAAGCGGCAGAACCGAAGAACCCGAGCCATCGCAGCTGCCCGCAGTAGCACGCCCGCCATGGCTCATGGCGTAGTCATGGCGTAGTCATGGCATAGCCCGTCTGCTGCTCAGCCGTAGCCTCAAACATGCCAGAGCACAGTGCAGGAGCTCTAGCCTCGAGGTCACGTGCCAGAATTATTTGAGAGCATGTGGAGGTCTTTGCCCACCTCCTTAAACATGAAAAGCGTTCAACAGGCGGGGTTCCTGGGGTTTCTGAGGTCCCTCTCCGGCCCAGATGCCTCTGTCACCGCTGCCGCCCACGCCGGAAGCCCTGCAAAACAGCCTCTGCTGCTCAAATCTGATTCTTGTTATGACATGAATGACATCCATACTGAGGGTGCAGCCGGGTGGGAATCAGAAGCGGCCTAGTTGGTCTCGGCTAGACGCCCAGAAGAGGCCAAGACAGAAAGAGAAAAGCGGAGGGCGCCCTTCGCTGCAGGTCACTCTCCTCGCTGCATTCCAATTACACCAGGAACAGCGAGACCAGCAAGCAGTCGAACCTGATCAGCCGAAGGCTCAGCTCTCCGAGCGTTGTGAGGGTTCAGTGAGGGTTGTGAGGTCTGAGAGAGGGCACCAGACGCTAGAGACGCTAGGGCGCCTACAGGCCTCTGGGGAGAGGCACCCAAAGGCAGGTCTCAGGCCCCGCGCCACCGAGGTGCTCGGCAAAGTGTGCCCGGCGCTTGGCGCGAAAGGGGTCCCATCCTCCAATCCCCACACATAGTTCCAGCACCGGAAGTTGAGGTCCTCAAAAACCTCAAAGAAACCTATGCTGCTTCCCGACAAGACCCCTCCTCCCAACAGACCAAGTTATGTCTCGAGGCTGCCCTTCCTTCTGCAGGGCCGTCTGTACCCAAGAGTTGCAAATTGAGTTTGCAGCTTCCCATTAAATTGAGCCACTGTGGTCTTCAAATAGCGGTATTCTGAAAGGGCCTCGCTGGCGTTTGGGGGAAAGGGGGGGGGGGGGGGGTTTTGAGGTGAAGACTCTGGGCCAAGCCGCCGCAAGTTCAAGTTCCCGGTGCGGTGATGTCACAGCCTAGAAGGGTTCCACTTTTGATTTTGGGGTCTTGGGGCTCAGACTTTTGAAGAGATTGGGGTCACAAGTCGTTCGCGTGAGAATGAAAGGCAGTCTGAAAGGGTATTCGTGCCCATGCTGCCAGTTTGCCAGGAAGCGCGAAATCTTTACCGATGCCGCTGCGATGAAGGACTCAAACTTCCCAAACCCGCCGGGTTCCGCCTAAAGACGCAGAGTTGGCTTTGGCGGCTTCAGGTGTTGTATGGGGTTGTGGGGTTGTCACGCTTGACAGGACCGCATCCGGGCACAAGCCTGCAAGAGAGAATATGACGCTTCTCGGATGCGGTTGGAGTTTAGGCCTTCCGGATGCTGTGTGGCTTCCGCTGTTGTGGCACGGGTCTCGCAAGGTGCGGCACTTCTACCACGAGCTCTGGCCCCAGCGACAGCAAAAGTGCGCTGCAGAAGACAGAGAGAGAGAGAGAGAGAGAGAGAGAGAGCGGTCTTGAAGAAAAAGAGGAGAGCGGTCTTCTCAGAAGGGGTTGATTGTATGGCTAGTTCCATGTCTTATCCCTTTCAGTGTTGTTTAGCAATTCTTCTTCATCCCTTCTTCGGTGTCTGGTTTGTTGCTGAAACCTTGGAAAACTTCTACGTAATGCCGCCTGTCTGTTCAGATTTGGTTGTTCTCAAGAAGCTCTTGTTTATGCAAAGCAGATGCAGGCTGGCAGCAATGTCTTCTATTTAGCCCCCAGGTTTGTTAAATTTCGTTAACTTCTGTCGACCCATGTACCCGGGGACTCGAGCTACGGCATTCATGGTGCCCTACGTTTCTGAACCGAATTCACAAGCGAGTACGCTGTGCCACTGGGCCAAATGCACACACACACACACACACACATGTGCAATCCGTGTGTTGGAGTTTTCAAGGCTCAAAGTGCATAGTAACAGATTCCCCCGCGTGGTTGCCTGAGCTCGGCAACCCTGTTGGCACCCCCCTTCCACTGAACACCGCACGAGGATGGACCCCAATTGCTCCCAGGCAATGAACTCCCACTTGTTGGCTTCGCAGCCGGGATTATATCACCTTTGGACCCCACGTTTTGAGGCACTTTGATCGGTTTTTGTACTTTGAAGCCTGGATTCCCCTGCAGGTTGACGGGCTTGGTGCAACCATGTGGGGGAAATCATGGCTCAAAAAGATTGTGCAGTTCGGTGCGAGGATTTTCGCACCCGGATTTGAGCCAATAGTCGCGATTGCGCTAAACAACCCGTATGTCATGTTGCAGTGCTTAGTGGAAAGTGGCTTCTTGCAGCGATGCACATTTGAGCCACCCCAAGAGCTGTCCACGAAAGACATTTCTTTTGCCTTCAGCTTACAACTCCGCAGATTGGAGAGCTGCCTGCGAGCTTTTCCAAGAGCACTCTCATAAAGGGTGCTGAGACAGCACGGAGTGGGGCAGTAGTAGCTGTAAAACACCCGAAGCACCTGAAGCACCTGAAGCACCCTTGCAACTTACTCTGCCTCTCCTTTTGCCCCCCCTAATATCAGGTCCGGCTTCGCGCAGCGGCTGGCTCGCCACGACCTCTTCGGCAACCTCGCGCTGCGCGCCGCCGGCGAGTTACGTGGGAAGAGCGATATCAGGGCTTTAGCTTAAATCGAAGCGAATTCTACCCTGCAGGTTTTGAAAACCCTCCCAGACACAGAGCGGCACTTTGCTGCCCATCGCTTCCCTCAAATCGCACCCTTTAGCTATGTTTTTCTCCGCTTCCCTTTCGCATCGGCGTCTCTTCGTTGCAGTGGTCATCACCCTGAACGTGCTGTGGATCGCCCTGGACGCTGCCTGGCTCCCGGTCCTGACAGAGGTGTCAGCGAGACGCAGAGCAGCGAGGATTAGTGGAGAGCGCTTGCGAGGAATACAACACCGAGCCGACCCTCGCGACCGCCCACCCCATCTTCGTGGCAGGCGACTCAGCTAAGCTCAGCTACTCAGCTCATCAGCTCGTTGGACGTGGCATGGGGAAGTCGATCATTCGGGAGCTTTAGGAACCTGAACAAGCAATGAGCAATCGAATGTGAGCCTGCAAGGAATGCGAAGCGCTCACAGATGTATGATCAAGAATGTCTTCCAGCATGAAAACCTCATTTGCAAGGAAAGGAAAAGTGCCCGACTTTCTTGTGAGTCCACCAGCTGCCCAAACTGGATCCAGGTGCAACTCTGATAATCTGCAGCCCAATATCACCTGGTCTTCGTTGGCCAGGACAGATGATATTGGTTCCTGGCCGCCTGCGTGAAATGAGCTCAAGCATTCAATGGCAGTCAAGTCCTCCAACAACCCCCTAGCTTGGAATCAGGGCTTCCACACACTCCGCCATAGGCCCGTCACCGCCATAGGCCCTCCTCCTCCAGCACCGACCTTAGAATGCCTTAGTGTCGTCGTCACAATCGTCGTCGAGGTCCGGGAGACCCACAGCAGTGACCCAGGGCATCTACCATTGTCGTCGTCGTGTAGGACCCCCAGCTGCCACAATGGGCCCAAGGCATCTCGAGAGGCCACAGCTGTCCATAGCGACCCAGTGCACCTCCACTTAATTTTAACGCCACGCGACCCGCCTCGGCCCGGCCCAGCGCATCCGCGTGAGCATGGTGATTCCGCAGCGCCCAAGTCGCTGGACCCCAAGCAATAACGGTTGGGTTTAGGGTTTAGGGTTCCGGGTTTATGGTTTTTTGTTTTGGGGTCTAGGGTTGTAGCTTTCTCTGTGGCCGCTTCTCCGCGCCAATATGCCCAGGGACCCTGGCAGACTACTTTCAGACTTGGTGCTCTTCGGCATCTGCGGTGTCTTCTACTATGCCGAGGCCACGGCAAGAGTAGCATCAGTGAGGCAATGTCTCGTGGCACGGAAAGCGTGACTCCTTGAATTTGTATTGTAAGTCCGTGACCATGGATGCTTCTAATTGATTAGCATTTCAAAACCTGAGCATTGCGCCTTGCTGATCCTTCTTTGCCGGTTACTGTGCAAATGCCAACTTTTCTTTCAGGTCAGCTCCTGGAGAGCCGGGGTGGAAGCGTGCGGTTGTGCTTGAGCTGTCTGGACTTTAACTTCTGCAGCTCGTCAGGCTATTTCGGAGGTCTCCCAGCTTAGATCTGCCCCCAAGCCATCTCTCCAAGCAATGTCGCCCATTGTCTTCCTGTTGTTCGCCATTCATGCTGGCGCGCTTTCTCCTCCATGCGAAAGTGGCCCGTATGGCATCTCGTATGCGCAACTTGGCATATGACTGTTGCTATAATCAGCTGCGGCTGTTCGGTTACCAAGATTTGCTGTTTGCAAAAGGTGCCTCGCACGCTCTGGCTTCCGCTTGGCGCATGCGGATATATCCAAGATGGAAAGTGAGTGACTTGGCTAGGCTAAGCTTCGCTGCGAGCAGTGCCTTCCTGATGTTGGAATGTTGTGCCTTATGCCCTCTGTTTTGGTGCTCAGGATAACGCATCTACGTTTGGAAGTCCTATCCTTGAGGTGCCGTGGTAAGGCCGGGTAGGTTGACCTGGGAAAGCTCGGTGCGTTGCCAGGAAAACAGTCGAAGCAGGAATAGTAGTAGTAGTAGTAGTAGTAGTAGTAGTAGTAGTAGTAGTAGTAGTAGTAGTAGTAGTAGTAGTAGTAGTAGTAGTAGTAGTAGTAGTAGTAGTCGGAGTAGTAGTAGTAGTAGTAGTAGTAGTAGTAGTAGTAGTAGTAGTAGTAGTAGTAGTAGTAGTAGTAGTAGTAGTAGTAGTAGTAGTAGTAGTAGTAGTAGTAGTAGTAGTAGTAGTAGAGTAGTAGTAGTAGTAGTAGTAGTAGTAGTAGTAGTAGTAGTAGTAGTAGTAGTAGTAGTAGTAGTAGTAGTAGTAGTAGTAGTAGTAGTAGTAGTAGTAGTAGTAGTAGAGTAGTGAGTAGTAGTAGTAGTAGTATAGTAAAAGTAATAATAGTAATAGTAGTAATACTAGTACGAGTAGGACTAGTAGTAATTGTAGTACTAGTAGTAATAGCAGCATAAGTAGTAATAATAATACTCCCTTTGACTCCTGAGGCCTCAGAACTCACTGCGCGCCAGGGCGGACAGCTCAGAAGCTGAATGGTACGTGATTTTTGGGGAGCTTGGGCCTTCTATGGTTTGAGGACTGCAAAGGACGCCTCAACATGACCCCGTAAGCCACATGTTATATAAGCGCAGCTTACCTAAATGGTTCAACCGGAACTCAGTGTCCGGAAGGTTTTATGTCAACACATACGCATTGTCTAAGTGTGCGTTCTCTAAACCAAGGACCCGCGCAGCCCCTGGATGCGTTGGCAGCCCCCTGGGTGCCTCGGATCCGGTTCAAGGTTTACTGGGGTGTTGTGGTCAGTTGTGGTCCTGCCAAGCGACCATGTCAAGAGAGCCTGTGGGCCTAAGCTCTATTGAGCCTTCAGGTTGTGAGGAAATCGCGCGATCTGAATCGAAGTGCATGTGGTCCTGACGATATTACGTTTCTTCTACTCAGGGAGTCCAACAAAAGGGTCATACTTTACTACGGTACGCGGTATGCACCAAAAAAGGGCCATAATTTTGGAAATATCCTCCTTAGCAGCATTAGTGTTTGGGCTTTGGCATAGAAGGGGAAATCTGCAACCTTAAACCTCTAAGGGCCCTCAGCCGCGCACAATGCTTTTTCAACCGCAAGATCACATAAGGGTCGCATTCTTATAGTCATCCATCAACAGATTTCCACCAAACGTGGCGAAACTTGAGCCACCCTGATATAACAGGGGCCTGCTTGCTGGGAACGGATGCCCTGAGGACGGATTTGTTCAAATCGCTGCTTGGTGTAGAGCTTTGCTTCGGAGGTGGAGTGGCGGGTTGCGAGTTTGCAGGATCAAGAATTCTTATTTTGCAGACAAATATAGGTGTATGTATATATATATATATATATATCCTATTAAGAACACTAGAAGTAATAAAAACGAATCATGGCAGATTGTGTGCGAGACGCAACCATTGTTTGTGCTTGAGGGTGCAGGGTTTAGGGCCTAGGGATTAGGATTATTAGGAGAACAGGTGTATCTTTGCGATGTCAGGAAATGCAGGAAAATCCGAAATGCCCCGGAACACTGAGGATAGATAGAGAACTATACATAGGTATGAAAAGCTATGAAAAGCCACGCAATGCTATGAACAACTGTCAACGGCAAAAAATCTATCCACCATATTTACACACCCTGTATATAGGGATTACGCATCTATGCACACACACACACACACACGCATGCGCTAGCACGTCCAGGTTTTCAGCAAAACATGAGACTCCTGCGGTCAAGTGTTATACATCACAGAATCGAATCAACAGTCCATGTTACATACTGCGCCCGCAGGATCGGTCGAGCTGGTGCGAGGGCAGTTCAAAGCTGGAATCCCAGTGTGTTTGACAAACCTCAGATCCGGGGATGAAGCTGGCACTTCTTGAGGGACATGAAATCAACTGTGCGAGCCAGACTTAAACCTTAAACCATCTTAAGCCCTTAAACTCCAGCAAGGCCACGTCATCGCGCCCGTCCGTGCCTGGAGGTCTTGAGGGGTTCAAGGTAAGAAAAACCGCTGCGGACGGGTAATGTGTGATTGCCACCACTGTTGGTGGGTGGGGAAAAAAGGTTCAGCAGACCAGCTCTTTCGTACTGCGAAGCGTTACGTGTTTTCCAGTTGGCAAAATGGAAGACCTCTCTCTCGAAGAAGGCCGCTTGCAAGGGTTTGCTGCGGTTTGTGTGGAACTTCGAGGTCTTAGCGCTGAAGTTAGGTGTGTGAGCAGTTTTTAAGTCTTCCAGCGTGTGATGCTGAGCAGACAGTGGACTTGCTGTGACCAAACATGTGTGGCGTACCGTGCGGCTTCGCGGGGTTTAGAGTCTCTTGGAACTGAAGACTGAGAGTTCGAGAGATTCGAGAGGTAAGTTTGTTCAGAAGAATGTCCTGACTTCTGACAAAAAAACTGAATTGTTCTGTTTGTTTGCTTGCGTGGGTCACAATGTCATTGATTGCAGAGAACTGGGAGTAGTTGCGTCCCTGAGAATGTTTATGGGCCCCAAGGCTCAAACTGCTTCAGTGGTCCAGAGACTCAACTCCAAAAACCCTACCCAGCCTCACTCAGAACCCTAAAGGCCCTAAAGCTTTGTTTTGAAAGCTTGCGAACGCTTGTTACACGTATTTGATGTTTTAAATGTTTGACTGGATGGCCGGTTGCAATTTCAGGCTATAGTACTCTTGTCCGATTCCAGCACGCAGTAAGTTGTAGCAGCATGTTGTAGCAGCGTGTAGGTGAAGCATTCAAGCTCAGAACTAGGTTTCATCCCCTTGAAATTGCGCATGCAGAGCTGTACGGAAGCCAGACCAGCAGGACACTTTTCCAGAAACTGAAAAGAATTGGCCACATGTTCCTTACGTTTTGGTGCGTCATGGCTTTCAGTAACCCCGTCCAGATTTGCTGGCTGTTCGCGCGTGAGGGCAAGCAGAGCAAGCTGGGTCCAGAAAATTGCAGGACAATATCGCAAGATCTTCGGTATAGCAGTAAGCTGAAACGTCAGCTGATGCTGGGTGAGGTGTTGCCTTCAGAGGCTTTGCCTCTGCAATCGGACCCAGGTCACAGATGGCACGCAGCATTCTCCAAGTGGGATGGACAGGTGGTGGGCGCAGCAGTCTTCAGAACAAATTCGAAGTTCGACGTGATGTCTTCGCTGTCAGCAGGGCAGCGCTGTGTGCGAGAGTACTGGGCAATAACAAAATTTGCAGAAGCACCCCTTGTCTTACTTGACGTTGCAGCAGTATGTGCGTTGGCCACACCTGTCAGCGTCCGATCGGTGCACACAACCTTGGCCCCGACTGCCATGTTTTTTCAGTGCACGCCTTTCAGTCTTGAGGAACTTTTGTCCCAAAGCCTTGACTCAGGCGGTGCATTGATGGATGTTGTGCATCAGTGGCATCGTCAGTTTTGTGGGTCCTTGGACGCTGAGTCGCAGACTCGTGAAGAAATATTTCGCGCATTGAAGTG